CATTGCTCGGGCCCCTGGGGAGCTCGTCGCAGCAGCTCTGAGCCTTCCTGGAAAGTAGCTGACATCTGGGCCAGCAAACCGCCGCAGGAGGCGGCTGGGCTCTGTGTGGATAGCGACCTCCCCCAAAGGGCTGTTTGCGAGATTAGAAGCAGCCATGGAGGGGGCATCATGTGTGGTCACTCAGAAAGGACGTCACTGGTATCATGAGGCTGTATGGCAGACATTCTCAAGGTGCCCCATGTACTTGTGCGTCTGTCACGGAAGAGGAAATCCACAGCCAAGGGAGGAAGAAGAGCTTCGAGCAGGAAGCGGGGCTGGTGCAGAAGCACAGAAAGGAGACTATTCTAGCTTCCCCACTGTAGTTTCCTTAGAGAGGGGTAGAAGCTAAGTTTTGGGGGTTGTGTATTTCACAGATAGCCAAAACATGGAAAAATCGTTTTCCTTCCATTCCTGAAATACAGAGCATACACCAGGGAAGCAGAGGAGGTACGGACCGACAACGAACACTTGAGTGACCTGGGAACATGTGAGAAACTGAGGAAAGTTACAGAGTGAAACATGGCGGTCTCTGAGAAGCGACCATTGAATTTAGCAATGCGGGGGGCGGGGGGTCTCAGTGGTGACCAGGCAAAGGGCGAGGGCAGCAGAGCAGTGGGGTTGCGCACTTGACTGAAACGCCTAAAGAGAAGATGGGGCAGGCAAACTGAGATGACAAATAGAAACAAAATTACTGTCTTGAAGGATATCTGCACCCTCATATTCATAGCAACATTATTTATACTAAACAAGATATGAAAATAACCTAAGTTGTCCATCAATAGATGAATACAGAAAAATGTGGTATATAGACAATGGAATATTATTCAGTCCTTCGAAAAGAATGATATCTTGCCCTTTGAGACAGTGCTGCTAGACTTCAAGGGCATTACACTAAGGGAAATAAATCAAACAGAGAAAGACAAATACTGCATGGTCTTATATGTGGAATCGAAACAAAAAACAAAAGCAACCTCCCCCAAAGAAGTTCACAAATACAGAGAGCATATTCATGGTTGCCAGAGGCGGGGTATAAGAGTAGAAGGAATGGGTGAAGGGAGTAAAAAGGACAAACTTTCAGTTATAAAATTAGTAAGTGTTGGGACTGTAATGCATGGCATGGTGACTATAGTTGACGATACTGCATGGCCTCTTTGGAAGCTGCTAAGAGAGTAGATCTTGAAAGTTCTCATGATGTGAAAAAATTTTTTGACACCAGATAAGGTGATAGATATTAACCTGACTCATTGTGGTGATCATTTCATAATATATACAAATATTGATGCATTATATTGTACACCTGAAACTGCTATAATGTTATACATCAATTACACCTTGATTAAGGAAGGAAGAAATCAGAAAAAAATGGAACAAACTGCTTTCTTCATTTTAGCTCTCCAAGGCCTTCCCTAAATAGGCCTAATAGTTCTCCTCGCTTCATGTGAAAAAATAGGGAGTTTGGAGATAGAAAGAAAGGTGTAATAGCGATGTCCAAATAGACAGAGGTCCAAGTGAGGAAAACTAGGAACAAAATCCAAAGGAAAAGCCAAAGGAAATGAAAAAGCTGCTCCTTTACGAGAAGTACTCAGTGACACAGCGGGACCAGAGGAAGATGGAGCCCAGAAAACAGCATTGGCAGAGGCCTCCGTCAATGGATGGAACCAGAGAAAACCTGAGTGAGATGAAGAACTGTAAGTTGGTCAGTGAAGTAAGGTACTCCTGACCTCCCCCAGCTTCCCCTCCTCCCACACCCCAAGGAAGAAAATCAAAACCAAACAGGAGCTGGGTTCATAGTCCTCAAACTGTCCTGAGGGGTCCCAGGTACCTTGGCCACCTCGGGAGGTATTAGGGACCATTTAAAGTATTTGATGCAAACATGATGATACTTGTTATCTGCCAGGCACTACATCAACTGCCAGCTTGAGATATTGCTCGGTTTCAAAATTCGATCCTGCTAAATTCCTTCTGAGGATGTTTTGTCTTTGCAAAGCTGTGTTTTTGGCTGTTGCACTATAAATTGGGTGGAACAGGAAACGAGGTGGCCCCTAGTGATGCTGTGCAATATTTATTGAGACAATGAGAGCACCATGAGCTGAGAAAGTTGGGGAACCTCTGTGCTACACCAAAGAAAAGGGCAAGAGAGAGGTGCAGCTGAGGACAGAGCGCACCCGCCTCGTCTCATGCAGGTCCAGCCTGGCAGGGCAGGGGGGCGGGGTCAGCACGGGGGCCTTAATGGAGTTTGAAGATGACCTCTCAAACCGCCTTGACCAATAATAACTGAAAGTGACAGAGGAATTATGAAATCTGCTGCGGTACTGTCAAGGGAAGGATACGGCAGATTTAACTGAGTAAGTACAGCTAAAAGCAATTAAGTGGACAGAAAATAAATTCCTGGCATGTCACTGTCCCACTGAGTTGTGAGATGTTATAGTAGATGAGGGACATTACATGTATCTTGATGACTCACGTAGCAATTGTTGACCATAGGAAGCAGTGGTAAACATTAACGTTAATCCGTTGGTTGAACGGATATCCACATAATGTCGACTGTGTGCTAATCATTTCACTAACCGTGAGAGACACAGGAAAAGTCCTGCAGAGGATAGTTTGATGCCCCATCCCCCTTCCAACCTCAATATATCCCTCTAGCCTGTCTCTCTCTCTCTCTCAACCAAAGCAGTTTCCAAAAGGAAGCATTTTCTTATCTACATGTTCTGATCTATCTTTACTATTAGAATGAAGAGCCAAGAGAGAAAGGGTTAATCGACTTGTTTTTCCTCCTCTCGATTCTCAATATTGGCATGGCCCATGGATCAGTACTGTGTGTCCTTCTCTACCCGCAGAACCTCCCAACCCTTGGGTATACAGTAAATATTTTATGTGTTGATGCCACATATATACCCAGTGTTGACATTTCTCCATAATGCCATACTTACATATTCAACTGCTGTCTTGAAACACAGATACTGAATAGGCACTTTGAATTTAATATGTGTTCCTCTGTCCCCTACTCTCCACCACAGTCCCTGACCTAGTTACACTTTAGTTGCTCTTCTCCTGTTCAGTAAGTGACATCCTGATCCACCAGGATGGTGGGCACAAGTCAAAAAACCCAGAATTTATCCTTAACCATGCCTCTAGTGTATTTTATTATTTTATTTTATTTATATTGAGAGAGGGGAAGGGAAGGAGGAAGACAGGGAGAGAAACACCAGTGTGTGGTTACCTGTCGTGCGCCCCCTACTGGGGTCCTGGCCTGCAACCCAGGCTTGTGCCCTGACTGGGGATCGAAGCGGCCATTCCTTTGTTCTGTTCCAACTGGCGACTCTTAGGTTTGCAGTCCCAGCACCCAATCCGCTGAACCACACCAGTCAGGGTATTGCTATATCTTTAACATCTAATCAAGTAGCAAGTAGTCATGCTTGCATCATACTTTCCTCGGTGGCAGATCACATATACATCAGCGGAGCCATGATATAATGGAGCTGAAAAACTCCTATCGTCTAGGGAGGTCCCAGTCCCTCGCAAAGTCTGAGCGCAGTGCATGACTCACGTGTTTGCGGTGATGCTGGAGTAAACAAATCTACTGTGCAATCAGCTGGATAAAAATACAGCACATACAATTATATATAGTACTTGATAATGATATTAAGTGACTATGATATGGTTTATGTATTTACTATGCTATACTTCTTATTATTTCAGAGTGTACCCTATCTACTTACAAGAAAATAGCTTGCTGTCAAACAGCCTGTCGTGTTACGCCTCATACATTTTGAGTTCACCATGTCTCTTGATCGCACGTCTTCTCTTGTTCCTGATGTAACCGCGGGTCGTTTTTGTACAGCAACGTGCTGTGCGGGCTTCTAGCCCGGGGGCCGGGGACGATACCATATGGTCTAAGTGTGTAGCAGGCTGTACCATCTAGGTGTGTGTAAGTGCACTATGATGTTCACACTAAGGACACGTTTCTTAGAATCTGTGTCCCTTGTCCAGTTGTGCGTGGCAGCAAAAGAGCAGTTAAGACGCACCTTAGGCCCCCAGACTGTCGCAGCTGCACCTAGAATAACGCTTCTTTCTGGGATCCCGGAGGCTTTCCCTGTGCCCAGTGAGCGAGGCACTTTGGACTCTCTTGTCGGGCTGATCTGTTTCACTGCACCCAGAAACTATGCAAAACACTGGCTCAGAACATGAAGCTGTCACACTAGCAGCATCAAATCCCAGCTCTTGCCAATTACTGGCCGTGTGACTTAAATCGCTTTGTACATCAGTGTGTGTCCTCAACTGTAAGATGAAAGGTGTACTTAGGCTTGTTCTGCAGATTAAACTTGTTAAGGATGTGTGTGTATATACATATACACAGGTCTGAGCGCCTCCCACGCTGTCAAACGCTCGGTGATTCCCGAAAACAGAACGGGTCCGGGTCAGCGCTTTGTTCCTTAAACTGGGTTCCCCGGCCCACGTGGTGCCTATTGAGCTGTAGAAAGCACCTGCTATCTCTAGGCTTTACTACCCTACAGCAAACCCACACCCCATAACAGCACCCCAGACCCCGCTCTCCTTCCCGGAGTCAGAGGGTTTGGGGAATCAGCCCAAGTCGGAATCCAGCCGGGGAAGCGGCCCCCGAGGGCGCACCCGCTCGCGCACGCGCACAGAGCCTGCTTCTGTCCTTAGACTTGCAGCCCCTTTCACGGTTGAGGTGTCTCATCTCTATTCCTTCTTTGACAACATTTAAGATCCTCCCACTTCTCTCGGGCAAGTTTTTTGTTTTTAACACCTTCAGCATCTGCCTGGAGTTTTAACCATGTTATTTTCCAATCACTACAAAGCCTCACCCTTCACGCCCAGGAACTGGCCTCCCAAGAACTGTCACTCGCCCTTGGCGCAAGTCTCGCGAGAAAGTGGCTGTATCTCGCGGTATTTCCGTGTCACCAGAATCCTTAGCGCGAGGCGGAAACATATTTCTTTATCCAAGTGTGTGTCTCCCTGCGGCGTTTGCGCTCGACGTCCCTGTGGCTGCGTGTCCCAGGCAGATGGCGGCCCCCGAGCAGCCGCTGCCCATGTCCAGAGGATGCCCGAGCTCGGCATCGCTTTCTCCGCCGCGGGGCGACCGAACCCTGCTAGTACGGCACCTGCCGGCCGAGCTGACCGCGGAGGAGAAAGAGGACTTGCTCAAGTATTTCGGGGCGCAGTCCGTGCGCGTCCTGTCCGATAAGGGGCGACTGGTAAGGGCGCGCCTATCCCCAGCCGCCCGCGGGGCCCTGGGCCGCCGAGCCGGGGAGGAGCGCTGGCGCAGGGCGGGCTCCCCGCCTTCCCACCCCCGGCGCTGGCCTGCCAGGGGGCAGCTGTGAAGGGTGGAGCCTGGGTTGGTGACTGACAGCGCCGCGGAAGGGCCCGGGGGAAGGCGAGGCGGGAGAGCGCGGCGCGCCTTAGCTACGTGCCGTGCTCCGACCCTCCCGGGAGTCTCAGAACTACGATTAGGGGGTGTTTCCTCTGAGACTCCGTATTCTCAGAAATATGGAACAAGGGACTTTTTTAAAAAGTCTTATTTATAAGACCGTGTTAAAGCAGTCCCTTGAAATAGAGGAGAAAACTACGATAGTTACTTTGAGTAAACTAGTTAGATGTTTTAGATGGACTTGTCTGCATTAAAAGAGAAAAGGCGCTGTTACGTTTCTGCACGATGGTCTTTAGTGGGGCAAAACATTAATGGTCCTAACGTCTCCCCGGTGATTCTGATAGGCAGTCAGGGTTGAGGATTCCTGAAAAAATAAATTTTTATCCAAGTGCATGTACAGTAAGTGCTCAGTGTCGCTGATAGGTTCTGCAACTTGAAGCAAGGTGACATATAAGGAATGAAGTTTTACCGTAGGCTGATGGATGCAAGGAAAGCCCTTATAATAAGGAAAGGAGTTTGAACATTATTCGAGGACCTGCTGTATACTAGCACATACAAATGTTCTTCTCTATGGTTCCATTTAAGTACACTTGATTAGGTCACCTTGGATCCCATTAGACAAAAGTGCAATTGTGGTATAATTACTCAAGCAACTTAATTTTTTTTTGTATTTTTTCCCAAGACCATTTAGTCTTTATACCCCTCTCCCCCAGCAATCACCACACTCTTGCCCATGTCCCTGAGTCCTTTTCCCTTTTGCTCAACCCTCCACCCCCCAACCTCCCCACCCCACTTAGCTGTCATCCTGCTCTCTGAGTCTGTCTCTATTGTCAAGCAACTGTAAATGCTTTAGTAAGCGTTGATGAGAACTTTCCCTTAGCATAATAATGCATTTACTTTCGATTTAAAATGTTCCTTTTCTGATGGCTTTACAAATATTTACAATTTATATTTAAAGAGCGATTTCTCCCACTGAACCCTTATTACAAAGATAAAGCCCAGAGGAAATATGCCCTCAAGGAATGTTTTCTTGTGGTTGTTGAACATTTTAAACTCAGCATTTGGCTTTGTAGAGGAAAGTTTAAGATTAGATGTGTTATAAAATGGGAAATGTTTTATATTTTTGGGTGGTTTGAGGGTGGTCTGTTGTGTATGGTAGCAGGCTTTTTAAAAATGTTTATTTTTATTGATTTTAGAGAGAAACATTGAGTTGTTGTTTCACTTATTTATGCATTCACTGGTTGTTTCTTGTATGTGCCCTGAATGGAGATCAAACCTGCAACCTTGACCTATTGGAAGGATGCTCTAAGCAACTGAGCCCAGGGGGCTGGGCTATAGTAGCAGTTTTTAAACTTCTGGTGAAACTATGTATACAGTGTGCTCTGTGTATATATGACAAAGGTTACATAGTTTCTGTCTCAAAGAAGTCTGATCCAAAAAAGATTCAAAACTAATGAAATTAGTAGTAATCAGTTAAAATTATCTAGATTTTTCATCCTTTTCCAAGATTTTATGAATGTGTTAAATCCAGTAAGTCGTAAAATATCAGACATCCTAATGAAAAACTGAAATAATATTGGAAATAATTTGTACCTTAATTCTTTTTCAGAAACATACAGCTTTTGCTACTTTTCCTAATGAAAAAGCAGCTATAAAGGTATGACTTTTTCTTTACTATTAAAGTTATCACCAATTTTCTATTTAATCATGGTTCAAAAATAAAACATACTGTTAAACTGCAGTTTTGAAAAGCAAAAGGGTTTATATTTCAAGATTTTGCCCCACAAGCTACATTTGGTTCGTCAGTTGGCAGATCTTACCCAAAGTTTGAAGTATTTAGATGTAAGAATAGTATATTAACTGGAAATACAATGAAAGTTGAATTACAATTTCTTGTAACTAAAAATAAATTCTAAAGGATATAAAGATTGATAATTTTGTAACTGTTGCAAGGCAAGATGTTTTAGGTCTCCAAGGGAGTGCGGTGTATGTTGTGTTCCGGGAATGGTTTGCAATGGGGTGTCCATTTATGTAGACCTTGTAACGATTAGCTGGATTTTGAGAAGGAAACAGAGGGCGCTGGGCTTTCCGGGTTCGAGAACACTAATGGAAGGTGTGGGGCATGGGAAGCCTACAGTGAAGCAGGAGCTGTGGGGTGGAATGGAAATAGGACTTGCCACATAGGTTCAGTCTAAATTCAGGAAGGAGGGATTGAATTTTGTTTAGCAGCTGTTCTAAAGGCACTTGATACTTTTGAGCCAGCCAATCCTGTGGTCAGGCCTGCGGAAGATGCCTGGTAGAGCTCGTATAATGGGCGGCTCTGGAAAAAGTTTAGAGGTAGGAAGGCCAAACGGGGCGCCAAGATGAGAGAAATGATAAAATGGCCAAGGCAAGAGAAGGGTCCGCGTACATTGGTGAGAAGACAAAGGAAGAAGAAGGGATATACCTGGTCGAGACTGGGTGTGTGGCTCTCGTCATGTGGAGGTGTGGAGGCTGAAAGAGAGGGGGCACCGAGACCTGTGAACCGAGTGGCTGGGGCATTACGTCAGCTGACACGAGGGGCAGGGTTCAGGGGATGTGTGCAGAGGTAGACAGTGAATTCAAAGGTTAAGTGTTAACTTTGAGGAGCCAGTGGGCTACTTCTGAGGAAATATTTGTAAAACACCTAAAAATATGGCTCTCGAGCTGAGGCAAGATCAAAGATGGAGTTTCTTCACCCAGATGAAGGGCTCCTGTTGCCCGGAAGACTGGCCAGCAAAGGAGGCTGGCAGACCTGCTGTGGTCCACCTGCCCTGTTAGTTTACGCATAGAAAAAAATTATGCATAGGGCAATGTCTTTGGGAAGTGTTTCTAGCAAAGAGAAGAACTGAGGAGGTAGGAGCAGTGGTAGGTCTTTAAGCAACAGTGCATTTAACTAATTGATTTTTTAAAAAAGGGGAGAGACATGTTTAAGAATAAAGTAAGTAGCTGAAAGAGCTAGGAAATTAGTTAATGTTAAAAACAAAAAACCTGAACTCCTTGAAAGAAGAATGTGCGTGACATCCTTTTTGAGAGGCAGGAAGATGAAGCAGCTAGCGTGCATACCTGCATTTCAGGTGATCAAAGGGTAACTGATGGTGAAGAAGCTTGGAATTGATTTAGGGGCTTGAAAATCATTGCAACATTTTGAAACTGATGTTGTCTAATGAAGGAGTCAAAAAAGGACGCATAAAGATGCAATCTGTTCAAAACGTATTACATGCCTACTGTGTGCAGGTGCTGCTTCAGGTCTTGGGATACTTGGGTGAAGAGTAGTTTTATGCCCTCACTGGGGATCACATTCTCAAAAGGGATGGCAGACCATAGAGAATAAACTTAAATTATGCAATAGTTGAGAAAATGATCAATGCTGTGGGGGAAAAAAGCAGTAGGACCCGGAGCGCTGGCAGGGCGGCTGAGCCGCACCTGAGGCCGTCAGGGCCGCATTCCAGCAGCAGGGAGAGGGTGGGCGCGGAGGAAGGGAGCAGAGGGGATGTGGGGGTGTGCATTCCAGGCGGGCGGCCAGCCGGGCCCGGGTGGCCGGGTGGCCGGGTGGCCGAAGCAGGTGGAATGCGGGAGGCCGCTGGGTGTGAGAGCAGAGCAGTCACGTGTGTCATATATGTTGGTGTGATCAGGACCCTAGATTTTACTCTGAGTAAAATGGGGAGTCATTGTAGTATTTTGAGCAAAGCAGTAACATAGTATGACTCACATATTTAAAAGGGTCACTTTGGCTGCGGGGTTAAGAACAGATGGGGAAGAGTGAAAACGGGGACCTCTGTTAGAGGTTATTGTGGTCGTTCGGTCCAGAGGCGGTGGAGGGTCGTAGCGGCGGAGAGCGTGAGAGGTGGTTAGGTCCTGGGTGCATTTTGAAGGTAGAGGCGGCCAGGCCTTCTTCATGGCCTGGAAATACAAGGCGGAAAAAGGTGTTAAGGGTAATTCCTAGGTTTTAGGCATGAATAAGTGGAAGAATGGAGTTCCATCAACTGAAGGGGGGAAGGTTCCAGATGGAGAGCTTTTGGGGCATAGGGAGAGAAGACGACCCGTGCCGTTTCTGGAGTTTTGGTTTCCGGGGGTTTGCTAGTCGCCCGGGGAGCCATCCAGCGGTTTGGATGGGTGTGCCTGGGCTGCAGGGCGGAGGTCTGGGCTGAAGTAGAGATGGCATTTAAATGTAAGGTGCTGGTTTAGGTCGCTGAGAAGTTAGATAGAGGACTAGTAATAGAGCGCTGGAGTATGCCAGTATTAAGAGTTTGAGAAGGCAGAAGCCAAAGAAATTGAGGAATAGAAACCAGTGAAAGAAAACTATAGGGAAGTGTGACATTTAGACGTCAAGTGAAGGACATGCATCAGGAAGGAGAGATCAGCTGTGTCGAGTGCAGGGAACGGAGGCTGACCATCGCCGTTGGCTCGGCAGTGTCCGTGACAGGCAGTGTCGGGGGACGGGCCGATTATGGCCTGAGCTCGACTGGAACGCGTTTGCAGCTGGACGGGAGGAGAGGGGTTTTAGACAGAGGGCTTAGGTAACTCTTCAGGGGGAGCAGTGGTAGGTAGGGTCACTAGCTGGAGGAAAAAGTAGGGTACGGGACGTAGGAGGGTGTTGTATACTCATGTGGAGGCTCCCATGGAGGACAGAGAATTAGCAGTGTAGGTAAGAAAACTTCTGTACAGCTCTAGAGAGGAGAGGAGAGGCTCTTGAGTAGATGAAAGAGAGTGGGATTTAGTGTCCAAGTCAAGCCACTGGATAAAGGAAAAAACATGGACAGTTAATATCACAGTAACACCTGGAAGGTCGAATACACAGATGCACCTGCTGGTAGCTGGGAGTTAGGGTGGGAATCAGAGGTTCTCATCTGGTCACTGGAGTTTTCTCCATGTAGGAAGCCAGGTCCTCGGCTACAAGACTGGGGGAGGAGAATTGTGAGGTGGAGGAACAAAGAGAGATTGGAAGAAAAAATGACCTAAGAATACTCGTGTAATAGGTGCTCGGTGGCAGCGCTCTGGTCTGCCCCGATTTGTGGCTGTGGCCATGGATTTAGAGTGAGGCTGCGCAGATTCATTGTGTTTGTTTTCTAACCATTGTCAGCTGCCTGGGAATAGGCAGAGTTGGATTTAACCAGATTTTAGTTTTGCTAAGTGGTAGAAGCAGTTCTTAGTAGGTAATAAAGGCTTGGCAGCCTGAGATTAGAAACGGGTGAGAAATAGCCAAGAAACTCCTGAGAGCATTAACAGAGAACATGTGTACATGCGGGTGGTCTCTGACAAATACCTTGTGGTGCAATTATCAAATGTTTTACTCTTTTATTCCAACTGAAGGCATTGACAAGACTCCACCAGCTGAAACTTTTAGGTCATACTCTAGTTGTTGAGTTTGCAAAAGAGCAAGATCAAGTTCATTCCCCATGTCCCTCTTCAGGCACTGAAAAAAAGAAAAGGTACGTAGATGTTATGTTTTCCTAACATTTTGGAGTGTTTTTTTAACTGGTATTGCTATTGGATTATTTTCAGACTAGCAAGTAAATAATTTGAAACAATAAATGATAGATCTCTCTAATTGAATCTAGTACATTAAAACATTTATTTTTGTTCCTAATTGTGCATTAGGAGTTGATTGAATATTAGGAATTAATGTGAAGTAGGAAGAGAATGGGGTTAAAAGCACTCACTTTAAGTGGGAGGGAAGGTAACTCGTATAAAGTCTTTGTTGTATCACAGGCAGCCGGTGGTGTCATGAACAGACGTGGCTTTTGGACTCAAAGACTGGTATTTGGTTCCCAGCTATGACTCTTGGTAGTTATATAATCTTTTCAGATTTGCTTTATACCAGTGGTTCTCAAAGATGAGTCTCTGGACCAGCTGCATCGTCTCTGATCTTGACTGGGATACCGATTCTTGGGCCTTACCCCAGTCCTGCTGAATTGGAGATTGGGGTGGGGGGAGGGGCTGGGTAAGGCCCCGGAAGCCTGCGTTTTAACCAGCGCTTTAGGTGATTTTGATGCAGGTGAAGACATTTGAGTACAACTCTTGAGTAAAAAAAAAAAAAAAGTAGCAGCCTTCTTCAGCCTCAGGGGCTTTTTAAGGCCCGGGGTTCCTCTCACCACCTTCCTCGGGTGGCGCAGCGAGTGCGTGGAAGTGTGGCAGGCCCTGTGTGGTGTCTGCAGCAGAGGAGGCATCCAGGAATCCAGGAAATCGAAGTCGATCCTCTTTTCCTTCCTTTTCATTGGCGTTTGCCTGAAAAATGCTCGAAGTGTTATTTATACTGGAACTCTTTCCTTAATGCCACGTGTGAAAAGAGACTGTTTTTTCTGTATCCAGTTTTTCACCCTATTTCTAAAAGCAAGGTCTGCTTGGACTCTGTGTGTTCTAGGTCTGAGGACCCTGAGGAGGAAGAGAAAGAAAAGAAGGAACTTGGTTGTTTAACTGTAGAAAATGGGATCGCACCAAGCCATGGGTGAGCCTTGTTTATATTTCGTTGTTTTAGTTTGTTGCTCTGGGTGGGTTTGTGTGTGTGTGCATGTGAGTGTATTGCAAATAGTATGATTTTTTAAAGGGATATTTTGTCATGTTTATTTTTAATTTGTTTGATTAAACATTTTGAGTTGAGTTTGTCACTGAATTTGCATTCATTAAAATGTTTAGATCTGTAAGATGAGGACTGAAAAGAAGTATTTTTTCTTTAATGGAGTCAGAAGGCAAGTTTCTTTTTAAATGTCCTTACTTGGATCTATTAGGCACAAAGCCAATCTAGAGTGCTGAGTCATTTGAGCAATTTTTATGTGTTATCAAATTCTATAAAACAAGTTATTGATATGAAACAGTAAAACGCTGTCATTGAAAATATTTTTTTAGGCTGACGTTTCCTCTAAACTCATGCCTCAAATACATGTACCCGCCGCCGTCAAGCACGATCCTAGCGAACATCGTGAACGCTTTGGCAAGCGTGCCTAAGTTCTATGTACAGGTAAGTAGAGTGAAACCAACTTCCTCAGAGTAAGTGCTGGTATAACTTGGTGTGCTGTTTTTCATACTAATTCTCATAATCTTTCATATGGTATTAATTAGACTGATTCTAGCAGGTGGTGATATTATGATAGTTTGAAGGTGCTGCGGTCAGTTCAGGCTCCTGGAACTCAGTGCCTGATGAGGTGGCTTATAAACAACATAAAGTTACTTCTCACGGTGCCGGAGTCTGGAAGTCCGAGATCGGAGGCGGGGCGTTGGGTTCGGGAGAGGCCCCCTCCGGTTGCTGATGGCCGTTTTCTCATTGTGTCCTCAGGTGGCTGGCGGAGGGCGAGAGAGCCCTCAGGTCCCTTTCAGAAGGGACGCTAAGCCCACTCCTGGGGCTCTCTCACGTGACCTGATTACTTCCCAAAGTCCACCACCTCCTAATGCCATCACGTTGGGGGTCAGGATTTAATATATGAATTTGGGGGAGGGCATCATAAACATTCAGTCTATTTCAAATGATGATGAAATATTCCTACATTCAAGTAAAGGCTTTTATAACTATAGCTTAAGCAAACCATTATGTTTAGTATTAAGAATACTAATAAATATAAGGTCATTCAGGAAATATTATTTCTGGTAATTCTTTGTTCCTTTAGCATGTACCTTCAAGTAGAGATTCTTTCCTAAAGGAAAAGACATAGTGAGCCTGTGGCAAATGCTGGAAAGTATTGATTGTAATAGGACAGTTTTTGAAATACAACATACAGATTATTTTCATATTTTACTCTGTATTTATTTACTCATTTCACAATAATTTTCCCCTGAAAAATAGCACTCCAGAGGATTTTACGTTTGAATAGTGATAATAGTCATAGAGCCTACAAGTGTTCTGGAAGGCGAGTCTTGGCAAGGGCAGTGCCCGTTGCAGCCCTGCCCCGGGGCGAGGGAGGGGTCGCGAGGCCTGCCGGCCGCCGCGCTCACTCAGTGAATCGGTAGAGCTCTTGGGGGCTTTTTAAGTGCAAAAATTATGTGACCTGAATCATCATTTTACTAAATTATTTTAAATGTTTCATTGTTTTAAGGTGCTTCATCTTATGAATAAAATGAATTTGCCCACACCTTTTGGACCAATCACCGCACGACCCCCCATGGTAAGAAAGCTCTTAGAATTTTCAGGATTCAAAGTGTCTTCTCCAGAGGTGGGATTGTCATTGTCCCGGCTAAATCTTACAAATGTTGTTTGAGGGACTGGTAATGTGCCCTGAAAACAAGGAGTACGTATGAAGGTAACATGATGATATAATAGGCAGGCGGAGACCCGGGAGGGAGGGAGGGAGGGAGGAGTCAGAGCCGAGGCCGCGCTGTGCTGTCCTTCGACCCAGAGGTGGGGCCGTCCTGTGAGACGGTCACATGGAGGAGACTTAATGGTCTAAAATTCCCATTGTTTGGTTTTGTTGCCTCTAGATCCTCACTTGCAGAAGAAGGTTTCTCATTTTTTTTTTATTAGAACTTACTATGCAGGCTTACCAGTATTTAGATGGTAGGCCTTGTCTGCTCTTGACTAGTTCTCGTTATGTGCCATAGTACTTTAGGGAATGGCGATGAGAATGTATCTGAGCGCTGACATTTAACTAGAAAATGTGCCATCGGCTGCTTTTTCAGCGTGCAGACTTTTAGCCCCGTCATGGCCCTCTAACCCCAGCACCCCAGTGCCTGCGCAGGGACAGTAGTAGGTCAGGGGATGGCGGCTGCAGGCGACAGGTACGTGCGAGTCTCAGTCACCGCACACAATCAAAGTGGCTTCTTGCTCAGGTCAAGTCCAATCCACAAATAGGGCAGAATGCAGTTCTGCTCTGCGGAGTCACTCGGAAGCCCCAGTTGTCCCCGCGGTGGGCGTTCTCCAGTCGAAGGGGCCATTACCGCGCAGCCTGCAGATCCAGGAGGCAGAGAGCTGTGCGCGGAAGGGCTGTGCGTCAGCATCCCCCTGGGTAAAACTCAGTTCCATGGTGACAGCCAACTGCCAGGGACATCTGGAAAGTTCGCCCAGCTGGGCGCCCAGGGAGAAGAAGGACGCTTTTAGCTCCGCCAGCTGTCAGCCACTGCAGGTGTTTCAGTGTGACGAATGTGTAAGAGTATCACGAGACAGGGTGAGAGTCATGCATCTGAGTGGAAGCGGCTTCCTGTTCTGGAGATATCACAGGTCGTTTCTGTTGTTGCTGTTTAGTATGAAGACTACGTGCCGTTACACGCTCCCCTGCCGCCCACGTCTCCCCGGCCACCGGAGGAACCGCCTTTGCCAGATGAGGACGAGGAATTGTCTAGCAAAGAATCCGAGTACGAAAGCAGTGACGAGGAAGACCGGCAGAGGTGTGTGATTTCAAGCATTGGTTTAGATTCCGAGAAGCACAAACTACTGGAAAGAGATCCTCTTGCTCTTGATTTTACCAGAGTTCTTTGTAATTTGGGGACATTAGAATCTGTGCATCCCTAGCCCATCAAGCACATAGGAGTGATGGGTGAAGACCCGAGACCAGGTGTCAAGACGTAAGGAAGTCCTTTGGATTGAGAGTGATTTTTCAGATTTATGACGGCGGCATTGGAAAGCACGGCCGCCCCGCGTTATCTGTGGCCTCGGTGTCTGTGGTCGCCCACTTAGCCGAGACCCATCCGTGACTCCAGAGGCAGGGGCCGTGGCGCTCTCGTGGCCCTTTGCGGGCGTGGGCGGGCACAGAGCGGTGGAGAGTCTGAGCTCTTGGACACACAGGCCCAGCTGCGGCAGGACAGGGGACGCTCTGCCTTCCGGTTCCGCCTCTCGTTCCGTAAACAAGTGTCTTTTTCGTGGTCCGCGTAGTACCACGTGTTCCCCACTTTTGTGCTGTTGGTTTGGTGACTTTGCGTTTCAAATGGCCCCCCAGCATGGTGCTGAAGTGCCGCCTCATGTTCCCCAGACCAAGGCCGCTGGGATGTGCCTTGTGGCGAGGAGGCCGGTGTTGGGTACGAGGGTTCCGGCGGGAGCTACAGTGCTGGCGGCTGAGGGTTCGGTGGTGACGTGTAACGGCCTGTGTCACACAGCACGGCCTGGGGCAGGGACACGCGTCAGACAAGGCGTGTCTGGACCGGCTGCTGAAAGGCCACGGGCAGCGGCTCGCAGGAGCCTCCCTGGGGACAGCACGTCGCCATTCACTCATTCTTTGTTTGCGGAGCGTTGATAGAATATAAATATGTCAAATAGCAAGAATAAGACCACGGGATCATATTCATATTTTTTCACCTTATTCCCCTGGACTTCATTCACCTCAGAAAACTTTCTAGAGCAATTCTGTAGGATTTCATAAGAAACTCTTGATAGCAACTACTGCAAATGAATTCTTTTTCAATTGGTTGTCCCGGGTGATCTGCGTCTGTTATTTAAAGGTTCTGGTGAAGAACAGTAGGCTGTTAGCAATGTTCAGCCGTACAGTCCACGGCATAGCCTAGGAAAGGAATGGCTAACGTTCCTAGGGCCGGAGAGTTCCGTCGGGGGAGTGGGGGGGGGGGGGGCAGCCGTAGACAGTCCCCACCCGGGTTCCGGAACGCGGCCGGCCCGCAGCAACGGGCAGCCTGCCTTGGCGCTGGGGCTGTCCCCGGCCCGCGCCCGGCCTAGGTGTCCGGCGTGGCCAGCGCTGGCGGTGCGTCCGCGCCCAGGGCAGCCGCAAGAGCGCCGGGCGGCCTGCGCCCAACCCCGGCCGGGCCTGGGCAGCGCGGGCCAACGGTCAGCAGTCTCGCTGCGGTTGCGTCCACACTCCTGCGGCAGCAGCTCGGTGTGTGTGCTCTTCCGAGGGGAAGAGCTAAAATCTAAAATCGGCGCCGTGGGTGCGTGGAGTGTCCGTCTCCATAGAGACGTGGAGGAAGCCCGCGAGTCTTGAGAGGCCGTAACTTTAGTTTGTTACTAAAGAAAGAACAGTATGGTGTACGGCGCTGGGCTATGACTTGGTCTCTCTCAATTTTACTTTTCAATAAAAACAATGATAGTAAATAGAAATGGTATAGGGAGACTGGCACAAACCATTTTATTTGTTTTTGTGTCATTATGTTTATAGAATTATGAGAACCAAGTCTTTGCATGAATTAATCTCTTCTTTCATGTTTCCCTATTATCTTCTGGAAATGTTTTAAAAAAGTATCATTTATTTATTCTGCAAGTATTTATTGATTACCATGTAGAAGCCTGGCACTGTTGTTGAGGCTTCGTGTAGTTTGGATGAGCAGTTCATGAATATGGACATGTGTTTTGTATGCCTGGATTTCCTCAGAAGAGTTTTCGGTTATCCATGGTTGTTAAGAATATAAGTTTAGAGCATGTGCTTACACTTTTCCTTGCTTAGGACAAAAAATGTAAAACTTATTTTAATCACACTCTCCTTCCCTGCATTTTATTGTGTGTGTGTATGTTTGTGTTGCTTTTGAATTGCACACATGTTGCTCTGGAGAGAGGGAGTTGTGGCGAGTGGGTTTTGAGCTTCTGCTCTGTGGGAATAAGTGTCCCACTCTGTGCAAGATACAAAAATGCCTGGACAAGATCTTTTCTAAATATTACTCATAATGGAGATAAACTATATACAGGGTATCAGTTGTCACACCTTGATTGTTACTTATAAGCTGCTCCAGAATATAGTATTTGAAAATTGTTCTCAAGTAAGTTACTTGGTTCTATAATGATTTGCAATAATTATGTACAAATACTTTTAAATAAAAATACTTCGGTCCTGGTTCCGTTTAATAATTAGACTATGAAACAAAATGTTTTTACTGTGTTTGTCAGGCCTTTTGAATGGCTGTGCAGAAAAGAGCAGTGAAGTTACATAGGTTGTATTGGTGTATCCTGTTCACTTTTTTGCATCACGTTTAGCCATTTTGGAGGGCAACTAATAATTTTTATAATAAAACTTATCCTTAAAGATAAGTAAATTCGCACTTCAAACTAAGACTAGGGTTGAGCAAGGAGATTTAGAACCTGTTCTTTTGTTAAGTGTATTATTTCTTAAGTGATGGCTTAGAAATTACACTTACAGCATACAAATTATTCTATAATTTATAAAGCCAGACACAAATTTAAGATGAACAGAAACAGTGGCGAATAGTTATGCTTCTACATAAGGAATTTTTTTTTGCTCTCCCTTCCCCCATGTAGAATGGCCAAACTAATGGAATTAGCAAATCTTCAGCCCAAAAGACCGAAACCAATAAAGCAGCGCCATGTGAGAAAAAAGCGAAAAATAAAGGATATGTTGACTATACCTGCGCCTGTTTCACACAGGTAATTTTGTTTTAGATTCTGAAATAAGGGTTGTGTATATACTGCTTGCTTTAGTCACATTATTTTAAAACAATTATGGCAGAAGTTTTACTTTGCCTATTTGCCATGAAATTCGATGTATTTTCATATCTTAGATAAAATTACTATTAATCGCAATTTTAATGTCATTTAACTTTTCTACAATGTAAATTTTCCTTGAATTCATAAGTAACTTCATAAATTGAGAAAGGAGTTTGTTAAAGGTATCTTTTTTTTTAATTTTTGAAGGAATGAATTTTTAGTCCTTCTTTTTTCATTTCACGTTACGTATTATTCCTACCTCCATTTGTCTTGATGCCAGTCTCATGCATTTGATCTCTATAGGAACCCTGAGCAGTTAAAAATAATATAATGTGAACCAAATTAGGTTCTCTAATAGCTACAGTAAAGGAATGGAAACAGATGAAATTAATTTTAATGATATATTTTATTTTACCCGTTATATATATTTTACCCACTATATATAAAATATTATTCAGCATATAATTAACAGAAACAGTTATTGATGTTTTACTTTTTTTGTGTAAAGTTAACAAAGTCTGGCATGTGTTTTATACATAGAGCACATTTTAGTTTGGGCAGCACATGTCAAGTGCTCATTAGCTACTCTGCTGGATGGCTTTATTATATAGCATATGAATATGCTGCATAAAAATGTTTACATTAAATGTAGAATGAACTTTTTTTGCATGTTTTCAAATAACTTTCAGTTCAGAATCAACAGTCCTCACGTGCTGTCTCGGGCACTTACTGCAACTTCTTAACGTCTACTCAGTCTTCTTACCGACCTAAACCGGGAATTGGATAGTGCGTGTATTAGAACGCTTGCTAGCGTTTGTTGAACTATGAAGTGAAAGTTTCACTTTGTGTAGTGCCTGTGATGGGAGTGCTTTCCCAGGACTAGTTCTAAAATGCTCAGGAAATAGGAAGCAAGTCTTACTGGGGATTTTACTCGTGGCTACAAAGTAACGTGCGGCTGTTCACACGCAGCAGCGCGCACCCTGCGCTCTCACCGTCAGATGTGTTTGACCAGCCACAGCCAGTGGGGAGTAAAAAAATCGAGTTCCATATAAACACCGACATGCCAGCTGCATTCAGGAAGGATTTAGAAAAGGAGCAACCATGTGAAGAACAAAATCGTGGTAAGCATATTGCAGTTCTGGACTATGCTGTGTAAACATTCTTCTCACTCAGCGTTTTGTGTTAGAATTAAATTTGTGTGTAATGTTTCTGTCTTAGTATTGTGAACTATATTTACAATCTGCAGTTAGGCCTTCCTCAATATCATGGACTACTATCCATTTTGAACTTTTTTTTAATAAAATTAAAACTGGTGCTTAGCAATGAGAATGTGTCACTTGGATTTTGCTAGTAATGAGGTCCAGGGTGAAATTCAGTGTCATTTATACTAAAAATATGAGAAGAATTTCTTGTGTTGACTTATTTTTTTGTTATTTGTTAAATGTGATGTTCCATGGTTTTATTAGTATAATTGTATTATTGGTTAGAAAATAGTGTAACTATCTTGTAAGTTGTAGATTTTATGTAAATTTTTAAAAATCTAAACATGGAAGATTGTTTACCAAGGTACTGTTTTAAGTTTATTAAGAATTTATTGAAATGATAGATATTTTTTCCTGCCTATTTTAGGCATTAATTTGATAATATAATGGCATTCCTTTTTCCTTTAAATTTTTTTTATTTCAGCTTTGGAAATGATACAAGTTTATAGAAAATATAATCAAAATAGGGACGTGTAAAGTAAACTTCTTAAAAGTTAACATTTCAAACCCCACTGTTCCCTATGCCACCACTTAGAGAAAACCCACTGTGAGCAATTTGGTGCACGGAGATCCTTCCAGACCTTATTATGTTTGCATAGCACTTGTCACCGGCTCAGGGACGACCGACTGGAAGCGTAGTGAGGCCCTGAGGACAGGTCAGACGTGGTCACTGACCGTCTGGAGTTTGAAGGCTCGTGGGAGCAGCTTACTACGTTGGAGCTTTAAAACACACGTTACTCTTTTACGCCTCCCCAGCACTCGGTAGTGGAGTGGTAGTGCGGTTCTCTTGTGCTCCGGTGGCCGAGGTGGCTTCCATTTTTTCAGTATCACAGAAAACACGGGGACACACGTGTTTGTTCGGGCACCTGAAGTGCCAGTGTGATCATAGGCCAGGTCTGTTAGGTGTCGCAGGGGAGCGAGCGGGAAAGCGGATGCCAGTTGGAAGTCCTGTGCCCCGGGTGGAGTGCGCTGCCAGTCAGCTGCTCCTACCTTGTCCGTTCCGTGTTGGTGATCTTTTTGTACGCTTTGCTTCCTCACCTCGTTTTTATATTTTTAAACTTAACTTACCCAGGGGCTTAGACCTGCAATGAGAGGCAGACAGGCCTCCTGTCCTGCATCAGTATCGAGTGGTAACGGTGAAGCGAGACAGAAGCGCTGTCCAGTTGTCCCCGCCTTGGTGGCTGGGGTCTGGGGGGCCTGTTTGCTCACTTTCGCACTCTGAAATGGAGCGTGTTCCGTGCATCACGTCCACAGCTCGGTAGAGATTTTGTTTGTAGGCAGTATAACTAGAATTTTTCTAGTGAATGTTTATTCTTGCCCCTCCCAACTCCATCTCCCAAGTCAGTTTAATTTTTACAGAAGCTAAAATTCATGTTTTATTAATCAAATCCATTTAATGCTATCTAAAATAAAAATTTACAATGTTTTTAATTTTCCTAATTGAATCATTTCTTAAGTGCGCAAATAATCCTGTTTCTTCACCTCTTGTATGATGAAGATTAGGACTGACTGCTTTTTTTCTTTTTGGGAGTGGAGGTTTAATGGATCTATTTTAGGATATTCAAACAGGAGTGTCTTATTTTATGATGCTTATCCAGCAATCATCTTAGAGAAGGCCAATAGTTGTTTCACAGTGTTCTGATGTAGCACTGTGAAATCTTTATACCCATTGTATAAATAATCTTGAATGACTGCATCTGATTAGCAAAATGGCTTTTATAATTGGGTAATTTTTTTGCAGTTTTTTTTCACAGCTATTAGTCATTCTTAGCGGGTAGGTTAAAGAAAATACTGATTATTGACCGCCCCTCCTGACACGCACATCCTGCCTGTGTCTACCGACTACACATTCCACTGGATGCCCCTCTGGTCTCCGGTACCTCCAACCGAATATAAACTATATACGGGTTACAGGGCACTGCAACCTTCTTCGAATTAACAAAGCTGTTGTAATAATCCTAACCTGCATGTCTTTTTCCATAGGAGGGACTGTCAACCTGCTTTTGCCCACCCCATGTGTAGAAAATAAATTCATTTCCTCTGCACCTTCCAGGCCCTCTGTACGCACCACGAAGCGACCATGGGCTGTTTGCCGTCTGCCACTGGGACGTGCTGTTCCTGTGTCACGGTGGCAGAGGAGAAGGGTTGCGAGGGAAATCATGTGGCCTGTGAACCCTAAAATATCTTGCACACCCCTGCTCCAAAGCACGGAGGAAAACACCAAAGGGCTGTAGAGCCAAAGGTCCCTTAAAAACTAAAGACAGACGCTAAGACTGTTTTGAAGGGAGGGATTTTTAATGGCTGCTGTTGGCATTACCTCTTAGATTTACCTGCTGCTGAAGGGGACGAATCCAGCATAGGATTTGGAAAAATCTTCCCCAAACCGAATGTGAATATCGCAGAGGAAAGCAAAGAGGACTCTGATGAGATGCCTTCGGAATGTATTTCTCGGAGGGAGTTGGAAAAGGGCAGAATTTCTAGAGAAGGTAAGTTCACGAAGGAAACGAGCACTTACTCCATTTTACATTTCTTCCACCCTTCAGAAACGGAACAGCGAGCCTCTTCCTGTTATTTACCTGTAGGCACAGACTTCAAAAGTCCTTCCAGTTAATGTTTTACTCACTGCTCTTCGGTTTTAATACTCATACTCCATGGGGAAGAAAGTCTCTCTCAGTCCCTTTCCAATTCATATTTGGAAACAATGTTGTTTTTTTCCTAAAACTTTTCAATGACATCTTAAACCAGTCGCACTGGCCTGCAGTCCGCAGATCACTATTCCAGTTGATAGGGCACCACAGTGCTGTGTCTGAGAGTCACGCAAAGCAGTTGTTGGTTTAAAAATCGTATTTTTAATTATTTGGTGATTGGAGGTCTATAATTAAGGATTTTATATCCTAACATAATTTTTTTAATTCCAGAGGATTTTTTCCTGTATTTTTGTACATTTTGGGAAAACATTTAGAGGTTTTTGATTGACATGGAACACCTTATAATTTTTCCCATATTAATGAGAGAGATATTTCTACCAAGCATTTCTGCATAGTACATCTCATTGTCAGGAAGAGATTATTGACACCAAGCTAGCGAAGTAGAACAGGGCCTGAGGAGCTCCATTCGTCTGAAATCCTTGATTATTATGTGTGAGGAGCTCATTCTTAACACTGAGTATGCTGGTGCCTGGTGATTCAGGAACTCGACTTGAAGCAAAACAATTATACCAGCAATTGATAATATTAATGTGGTTCAATCTCTTTAGCAAAGAAACTCATCTTAAGAGTAGCTTTAATAGTAGATGTTTTATTGGATAAATTTTAGTTATTTTATATGCCTGAAAATTTTATACTTTATTTCCTATTATCAACTTCCTATTTCCTATTATTCAGATTTTTAATGGATATTTTTATCCCATTAGCAACATTACTTTTAATTTTTATGGTTTTAACATTTTCATAATGCTTATTTTGTCTATTTAAAAGTTATATTTGAATGTTATAGGTTTTTTAATCAATTGATAAAAATATCTTAACTTTATATCCTTGTTTTGTTTTTAAATAAGAAATGGAAACACTTTCGGTTTTCAGAAGTTATGAACCTGGTGAACCAAACTGTAGAATTTATGTAAAGAATTTAGCTAAACATGTTCAAGAAAAGGTAGGTTGCAATTTACAAATAAATTTTATTATTTTACTTTGTTGTTGTTGTTGTTGTTGTTGCTGGACTTATCTGTTTTTTTCTTGTTGAAATTCTAGGACCTTAAATTTATTTTTGGAAGATATGTTGACTTTTCATCTGAAACACAACGAATAATGTAAGTGGCAATGATATTATCAGATTTTTTAAAATCCGTTATGAACTAACCCTTTTTTATCCCACCATTTTCCCTGTAGTTATAAACAGGAGTCAGCAAGCCTCCTTGTAAATGGGCAGACAGTGAAAATTTAGTATTTTAATTTTCTTGCAGGCCATACAGTATCGGTTGCAACAACCCACTTCTGCCTTTGTAATGTGGAAGCCGCATAACCAATACATGCACAGATAGTCATGGCTGAGTCCTCGTCAGACTCCGCTTACAGTAATAGCCCAGCCGTAGGTTCCAGCTACAGCAGAGGTTCCCGCAGGCCAGCCTGCCTAAAAATCACTGAAGAGCTGGGCAAAACCGGTTTCTGGGCCAGTCCCCAGAGTCCGGTTTTCTAGGTTGAGGTAGGACCCACGGATGTGTATTTCTAAAAAGCTCATGGATCACACCAAAGCTGCTGGTGCGAAGATCACCCTTGGAAAAGGGCTGTTTCAGTGACTCATCGGTAATGGCAGCAGTCAGGCAAAATGCATTCCACGGGTGGTGACTTTTAAGTGGATCGGGCTAAGCAAGGCTCCAGTTTTAGGAGAGTGGAAGAGAGGGGTCTGGTTGGTAATAGTACAAAAGTTGATGTTTGGAGTTTGAATGTTCTTTGAAATTCCACAATAACTCCTAAGCACGTAAGACCCTTGGCCATGTAATCGGAAGTGGGGAGAAGTAGAAAAGGTGAGGAGACAGGTCCTTCAGTGAAGGCAAGGGGGAGGAGTGACTCGTAACTAGTTTGTTTTAAACTCCTTGTGCTGCAGCTGGTGCTTTTAAGGTCTCACCTGGCCTGTGTATCTTTTTGGACAGGTATGCACAGTTCTTACAATTGTCTTACAATTATACTCTTTAGTGGAGAAACCCTTTCTTACCAGGAGGTCAGAAGTTTGTTTTTGCTGGCCATGCAAAATACTGGTGCTTTCTCTTGTTGCTGCCTTTGAATATGATTATAGAAAAATAAACATTTTAATGTACATAAATATATACAAATGTGCGTACATTCTTCTCCTCTATTTCCAGCATTGCCTGCAATTAGATTTTGATAGGAAAAAATAATTCTGTATTGAGAAGGCTGTACATGACAAAATGATAAATTAATAATTGTTTCCCACAGGACTAGTGATATGAATTTTTTAAATTTTTACTGCATTTTTTAATGCTTCATAAAATGCTTCTGCTAGTCCTATAGCCTATCTAAATGGCAAGCCATACATTAGTTAGAAGTTATAGTCTGTTTTTTCTAAGGACTTTTGAATATAGTTTTGTCTCAAAAGTGTTAAAAAGTAATACACTATGGAACAGAATACTACAGCTGAAATAAAAAATCTGGTTTGTGCTTCTGTCTCTAACTTGAGCTGCATGTGTGACCTTGAAGAAATTGCTGTCTCTTAGGCATCGCTTGTGAAATACTGGTTTTGCCTGGGTGATTAGTAACACCTCGTCCTGCTCTAAAATCCCTTTTCTCTGAAGTTACTTTTCTCTGGTTCTTATCAGCACTTCTTGGTTGTATGGTTGCCTTTTATCACTTGAGTAGATGGTATTGAATTGGTTGCATGGTATTTTTTAAAAATATATGAAATAAAATCTTAGGAAATTTGCTTGTATGATTGCTAGTAATATAATTTTTAAATCACATAAGGCCATGCAAAAGAGCTAAAAAAGATAGATATAAGGGCCCCCTCAAATTTATATTGCCTACTTACAGAATCAATTTTAGAAGTGAATACAAACTACAATTTTAGAAAGCCTGAGTAATTAATGTGCCAATTAGATTGCATAGCTGTTTTTCCCTCTGAAATATCAAAATCTTAACTCACTCAACGCACTTCCATTCACCGCATCAGAGCTGTCTGACATCCTTTGAATCGAAACCGCTCTCTCTTCCTTGGCTTCTAGGTTTGACATTCGCCTGATGAGGGAAGGCCGCATGAAAGGGCAAGCGTTCATTGGGCTCCCCAACGAGAAAGCAGCCGCGAAAGCCTTGAAGGAAGCGAATGGCTATGTTCTTTTTGGGAAGCCTATGGTGGTTGTATCCTTCAACTTAGCCTGTTTGAAAGACTGGGTAGTTCCTAGGAGAAGGGCGTAATTGAAACTGGTCTTCACCATCCTTCAGAAAACGCGACAGCTGGGGTCTTACTTGAGGCACGCAGTCACAAACCTGCTTACCTGACTCGGATGCGTGTCATTTCGATTTTCGTTAAAAAATGAAGGAACCTCAACAGCATGAGGTTGTTAAAATTTAGCCAAGTCGAAACGTTTCACTTATGTAGCTCAGAATTATGTTTTCATGCCAAGCCTGAGACTCCAGTATCCAGAAATATATTCGGAATCATTAAAGAAAGATGTGGTTCATTGTAGTCTTGTTTTATAGTTTAGCATATTATACTTCATATTTGTACTTGAGAATTTTAATAACCAAAATATACAATTTAGTAGCCATCCTGCTTTTAGTAGTTAATGCAGCTTGAAAACTAGAAAGCAGCAGGGTAGATGAAGGAGCAAAGGTCTAGGCGTGAAATCTGTTGGCTGGAGGGAACGCAAGTTTTTTGCTTCTCCCCCATATCGGGGACAGCAGGTGGATAAAGAAGTATTTGACGAAGGCCTGAGAGTAGAAAAATAAGTGTAAAAGGTAAATTCAAAAGCTGAATTCTTGATAATTCTTTAGAAAAGACTACTTTCTTATTTGTGAAGAAAACCTTAATGTTTAAATATTAGCAATTTGCTCGATCTGCTAGACCAAAACAAGATTCTAAAGAAGGAAAAAGGAAGTGTTAAAAATTGATAAAGGTAAGTGTGGATATAAACTAATAAAAGGAGAAGACTTGTTTGAGATAAAAGTTAGAAAGAATAAAAGCCTACTGGATTAGTAAATCAAGTTATTTCCTCAGGTTTTTAAAGGAGCGGCCAGATCCGTTGAGTTCTTCCTCTGTCTCTAACTATGCAGTACTTCCCATTAAACTTCAAAATTGTAACTACAGAATAAAGCCCATTTGTAAAGCTACCTTCAGAGAATGAATTTTATACAGGGAATGTGTCAGATTGTGAGGTTTCCCTCACCCCCACCCTGAATTTCTGGTTCCATAGGTCTGGGGTTAGGACCCTCAGGAGCCAGCCCTCCAAGCTCCCCGTGATGGGGCTGGTCGGGCCACGCCAGGACCGATTGGCCCCCCCGGGTGGGGCCGGAGGGTTTGCATTACTAATGAAAATTGAACGCTTCAAAGAACTAGATATCTGTTTTTTGTGGAATGGAATCTTTTGTCTTCTGAGCATTTCCAACTTTTAAGTTTGTGTTACATTGACTGATTTAAAGAGATGAATAGAAAGATATCCTTTTTTTTTTTAAAATTTAAAATCTTTCTGCCTTTGTATACTGGAAGAACATGAAGTAAATGGGTAAAAGCTACTGGTGTTAAGCTGAAAAAATTATATACCTTAGAGAAAATTTTGCTTAATGTTTATGCCGTTTATGAGATACATTGAATATTGGAATTTTGTGTTAAAGGATCTATATTGGTGTAGTCAGAAGTCCTACAAATACCTTAGTGAAACAGGTAAAAAGAAACAGTTTTCAGTGTGTGTTTTAAAAGCATTTATTTGTAAATTTAATGTAGAAAGTGAGAAGACATTAAACTGCCTTCTGCTGCTCTTCCTTAGAAGCCTTCCTGCGTAACACTGCCGTAGCTCTGTCATACAAAGCGTATCCTTTCTTGTTGTATCCTTTTGGGGGCAGTACTTTTTGTATTTTGTTTTTCTTAAATGTTTTGTCCCTTCCACCCACCCATTGATCCAGATTAGCAATAATTTTTTACAACTTCAAAGAAATTTTGCTAAATATCACTGTTGATTAAACAAATCTTGTATGGGTTTTAGATTTGTTGCTAAATTTTCTATGCTGTCCTTTAGATTACATGATTTTTTCCAGGAAAGTTAGTGAATCAGGTCAGTTTGTTTACTTGTAGAACGTATGCATTTACTTTGGTACAGAATTTAGCCTTTTTCTTCATGTATGTATTTTCTAGACCTAACTTAATATCACATGTATTCTGTTTCATGCCATACCTGGTTTAGGTATTCTGTATAATGTGTTGTAAGATTTGGTTGGGGAAAGGAGGTTTTTTTTTCCTTTAAAAAGTACAAATATTTATAGCAGAATAACTGGATTCCTGTGTAAATTCCAAATAAGAGTAGCAGACCTCACATCTGAGGTGTGATTATGGAAATCTCTGTTGAGACAAATAGCAAGTAGCAGTATTTTTTCCTCTTTCTTTTTCTAAACCAAACATAACAAAAGGAAGAAGCAAAGAGTAACAGAGGTGGAAGACAGAATATTGACCCAGGGTAGCACATTAAGTGAAAAGAAACAATCTCGGTGGGTATGTAAGAACAGTGGTTTCCAGACCAGTTCACGGCCAGAATCACCTGGAACTGGTTCTCAATCTTGAATGTATATGGAAATGACCTAGGAAGCTTTTAAAAACTCCTGATTAAAAAGTAAAACAAAGAGCTACCTTAAAAAAATATACTGAAGCCTGGGTTCCTGACCCCAAGTTTTGACTTTCTGATTTGGTGGGCAACATAGATGCTGGTTGAGAACTGTGGAGGAAGGAGTTTTAGACATAAAGATTACTGAACTCTGTCCTAGAATGAATAAATCGGAACCTACAGGAATGGGACAAAGAATCTAACCTGAAAAGCTTGCCTTGGTGTAGTTATAAGGATTCACCAGTTTGGAGACTAGTGTGTGAGATTAAAATGGTTTGGTGCCTGATACCAACCTAGCCGTCCAGCCTTTTGTAAGTAGGAAAGTAGAGGTTGGTGTCTCTGCTTTTCCTTCTTACAAATCCTGCAGTTACCAGAACTGTCAAAACAATTTTTAAAAAATCTTTTAGTAATCATTCTTTCCCTGAGAGTACAAAAGTTAGAAATATTGAAATTGATATTTTTTTTCCAATGGGGACAGTTAAATGTTATATTTTTTAATATCATAAATCAATTTCTGTATAAGCTGTTCTTTTTAGACAAAAGTTTGTGCTGACATGATTCACTAATTTTCTAAATATAAATATTTTAGCTTTTGGTTGTTTTGAAACTAATGAACTATTTTGTAATCATGATTATTTTTAATGAACTTTTATGGTATTTTAGGTTCCTTTTGAATTCCGTGTCTTTCCTGTGTTTTCCACCTTTGAGAAGAAATTGACCACCTGGGCTATGGAACTGTGCGTAACAGCTTTTAAAATGTATTTAAAAATTAAATCTATATTCACTTAGTTTATTGGAGATGTATCATGTGAATTTTAATGAGCATCATCTATAATAAATTATTTTCTTCTCAATAAAATAATGTTCTCAATTTTTAATGTGTTTGACACTGCTAGGAGAGTATAATTTGATAACTACATAACTTTATTATAGTAATTTTACAAGGCTAAATTTAAATTTTATTTTAATATTACAAATAATGCCCTTTTTTTATTCTTATATGTATACCAGTGCACTTACTTGCAAAAATTTTTTAAAGTTATCTTATTTCTTATCATTCTTTTAGAAGTTTTGTTCTGTTTTTTTTGGGGTGGGTCGTGTTTTAGTGGGGGCGGGGTTTCCCAGTTCAGGAAATTTTTGTTTGTTGCCCTAATTTAGCCTTTGATTTTTGTGTCCTCACAATCTATCAGAATAGCACCCAAAAGGTGCAAATGTTTCCCATATAAAATTTTCTCTTCCCTTGCGAAGTTAGTGTCCCGTGTATGTAAGTAGGGAAACTCTTTCCACAGGCAGACCTCACAGGCATGATGATTTGGTTCCAGGTCACTGCAGTAAAGCGAGTCCCACAAGTTGTTTTGATTTCCTGGTGCAGGTAAAAGTTGTGTTTGTGCCTTATTGGAGTCTGCTGAGAATGTGCTAGCATCATAGCTGGCGAAGACAATGCACACACCTTAATTTAAAAATATTTCATTGCTAAAAAGGGCCACTGTCGTTTGAGCCTACAGCAAGTCCTAATTGTTTTGTTGGCGGAGGCTCTTACCTCTGTTGATGGCCGCAGACTGAGCAGGGTGCTGGTTGCTGAAGGTTGCTGGCAATTTTTAAAATATGGCAACAGTGAAGTTTGCTGCATCAGTTGACTCTTCCTTTCATGATCTGTTTCTTTGTAGCATGTGATGTTGTTTGATAGCACTATTACCCACAGTAGAACGTTTTTTTACAAATTAGAGACATTCCTTTCAAACTTGGATGCTGCTTTTTTTAACTAAGTTTATGTTACATTTTAAATCTTTGGCTGTCTTTTCAAGAATCTTCAACATGAGTAGATGCCCTCCCAAGAAACCAGTATCTTTGTTCATAAGAGGCAACTCCTCCTCTGTTAAAAGTTTGATCTTCAAGCTCCACTTCTAGTTCCCTTGATTTCTACCACATCTGCAGTTACTTCCTCCACCAAAGTCCTGAACCCATCAAAGCCATCCATGAGGGCTGGAATGAACTCTCTGAAACTCTTACTAACGTTGTTATTCTTACCCTTTTTCATGAGCGCAAAGGTCCTTGATGGCATCTAAAATGATGAGCCTTTTCTAGAAGGTTTTCAGTTTCCTGGCCCAGGCCCATGACAGGAATCACTGCCTGTGGCAGCTGGTGCTTCCTGGAATGCATTTCTGCAGTAATCAGGCGTGAAAGTCAAAATCACTCCTTGATCATGGGCAGCAGAGAAGATGTGTTAGCAGAAAGGGAAGTGGTGTTAATTTCATTGCACATCCTGGTCGGTCCTCTTGGGTGACCAGGTGCATTGCTAATGAGCAATAATATCCTGAAAAGAATCTTTTTGGCTGAGCAGCAGGTCTTAACAGTGGGCTTAAAATATTCAGTAAACCTTGTTGTAAACAGATGTGCTGCTGTTCCATTTAGAGTGCACAGGCAGAGTAGGCTTCGCGTCATTCCTAAGTGCCCTAGGACTTTTGGAATTGCAGGTGAGTGCTGGCGTCAGCTCGCAGTCACCAGCTGTGTTAGCCTGTAACAAGAGTCAGCCTGTCCTTCGATGTCGTGAAGCCAGACAATGACTTCTCTCCGGCTATGAAAGTCCTAGATGACAGCTCCTTCCAATATAAAACTGTTTTGTTGTTATCGAAAACCTGTTGTTTAATACAGCCACCCCCTTTGATCATCTTGGCTAGGTCTTCTGGATAACTTGCTGCAGCTTCTGCATCAGCACTTTTGACTCACCTTGCACTTGGATGTTGGGGAGGACAGCCTCTTTCCTTAAACCCCAGGAGCCGGCCTCTGCCGCAGCCTCCTTGCCTCTCTCAGCCTCCACAGGATTGAGCAGGGCTGGGCCTCGCTCCGGGGCAGGCTTTTGCGTCAGGGGATGTTGTGGCTGGTTTGCCTTTCCATGCAGACCTCTGAAACTTCCTCCACATCAGCGCCAAAGCTGTTGCACTTTGTTATCACGTGTGTGTTTAGTAGCCTGGCACTTCTCATTCCCTCCAAGAACTTTTCCGTTGCGTTCACAACTCAGCTAACTGGAGCAAGAGGCCTAGCTTGGCTTTTGACTTGCCAGCTTCACTAAGCTTGATCTGTTCTAGCTTTTGATTTAAAGTGAGAAACGTATGACTCTTCCTTGCACTTGAACATTTAGAGGCCACGTAGTGTTACGCGTTGGCCTAATTCCAATATTGCCGTGTTCCAGGGAGGAGGGAAGCATGAGCGGGGAGAGGCAGGGAGTGGCTGGCTGGCGGAGCAGTCAGAACAGACACAGCGATACGTAACATATAAACTCTTCCTGCCTTATGGTCGTTTTCCATGTATGCCTTCCACAAGGGCTGGGATGAGTATGGAGCCAGTGAGACATCTAGCGCCCCCCAGGGGACACTCTCAGAGTAATGAAAGCGTCCCTCGCCTCAGCCTCGTCATCACCCTGCCTCCTGTTAGTGATGCGGACGGAGTCAGCGGAACCCTGATAAGTTGATCATCCGACGAAGGGTGGGAGCATTCACGTTGCTGTTTTAGGTGATTTGGAAACCATCCAAATCATTACTGTGCAAGTGAAGCTCCTTCAGAATCAATGTCAAAAGACATTAAGACTTTCAGGGGAAGTAAGGGACAAGGACACTTCCTGCGCACCTCACATCCAAAAGGCACTGTACTGGATGCTGACACGTAGTAACTATTTGATCTTTATGGCCATGTAAGAAAATCCTTCCCTTTGTGAATGATAGAGGCTTTTAGTAAAATTAACCGTGAGTCAAAAGACACTGTTATATTTGACTTGCTTAACTCTTGCCTATGAAACAAAAATCGCGCCCCCAGTAGAACTGTTGGGCAGACATGAGAACTGACCAGTGTCTTAGACACATGAGACAGAGAGAGAGAGAGAGAGAGAGAGAGAGAGCGAGAGCGCTGGCGATTCTCAGGAGGAGTGGAGTTCCCACCCCAAGAACTTAAGCAGCTGACTTGGGCTGAAGCAGGGCGCGGCACGGGAATAGCATTCACATGAAGGGTGAGCAGCAGGGAATCTGAAATAAACGACCAGGACTCACCAATACGGAAAAAGTGCCGGGAAAGGGAGACCCTGTACCCAACCTACAAGCTAAGCTTTAACGCCATGGGGAAAAGGTAGGAGATCAAACAAGACTTTAGAATGTCTGTGAATAATAAACAAACGTTCTAAGGGGGTTACATCTATTAAAAATGTGTATCCGAAGTGAGAAGAAAGGTATTTGACCACACAAGAAGAGATTTTAATTTTTAAAATAATGACATAGCAACCAGTATACCGTTTACATAGTAGTTAACATCAGGATCTCTGAAAATTCAAGAATTTAAGAAGAAAATCTGACTGACAGATTCCTTTCTTACATGAAACTTTTCAGAGCTTAGGAAGACACACAAAAATAGCATCGTGTGTTATTGTACTGAGACGTGGCTCACTGCAGACGAAAGAGGCGGACGGGAAGGAGGTGGGGGCTGGGGTGGGTCGCTCTGTTTGGGTTGTGTTTTTCCTTCAAAAAGATATTTGAAGACTATTTTGGCAAATGTTAACATTTTCTAAATCTGTGTCCTGAGACATGGAGTTTTTTATATGTTTTTCTGTATGACAAATATATAACCAAAATGAAAATAAAGCAATATAGTGGAATACCTCTAAACCAGTTTCTCAGCTATTTTTTTATTATTGTCCCTCCCAAAGGAGCATTTTTAGACTTTTTAAATCAACCTCTACAAAATTTTACAATTGCTTTATACTGTATGTCTGTTTTTAAGCTGTATGCGTCTGTCTTGTGGATAAATGAGGGAGGTTTTTCCTCCTCTAACCCAGGAACTAAACAGCCACCAGTCATTTGGAAGACACATAATCCTGTACCATTAAACATGAACAAATCATACAAAGTGTGACCTTTGACATTGGCTGAATTAAACTACATGTCAGTAACAGAAAACTTAGAAAAACCTTTCAAATTCCTGGATATTAAATAACATTTTAAAATAACGTATACAGAAAAACAGGATTCTTAAGGGAATTTAGAAAATAATTGAATTTGAATGAAAGTGGAAATATAAAAATATGTGGCATACAGCTATAGGAGTGTTTAAAGAGAATTTACTAAATTAGAAGAGAATAAAAGCCACAGATTGGTGATTTACATTCTACCTTAAGGAAGTAGAGAAAGAAGAACACATTAAATCCAGAACAAGCAGGAAAAGGAAATAATAGAAATAAGTACAAACCAATAAGTTGTAAACAGAAAACCAAAAATGTCATGGTAAAAAAAAACTAGTTCCTAAAAGATCAGTAAAAGAGGAAATTCTAGTCAGATTGCAAAGAAAAATAAAGACCCCTAAAATTGTAAGAATATAATAATGGAATATTTGGGACAAATTTGTTTTCATAAATTTGACAACTTTGATGAAATGGACCAATTTCTTGAAAGTGACAAACTACCAAAGCTTATTTGAGAAGTAGGTGACAAACAGTCCTGTATCTATTTATAAATTTACTTAGTAATTAAAATTTTTTCTGCAAAGAAAGCTTATGGCTAGGTAGTTTCACGGATGAATTCTACCAAATGTTAAATGTAAAACCAGCTTTTTCATGGAAGAGAACACTTCCAAATTAATTTTATGTATTACCTGTATTACCTTGATACTAAAACCAGACAAAGTACAAGAAAACTATGTATCACTGGTTTCTCATGAGTATAGATGCAAAAATCCTCAACAAAATACTAAATTGATCAAGCAGTGTATGAAAAGGGATTATACATCATGGTCAAACGAAGTTTATCTTGGGGAGTGCAGATCAGCTCATAGTCTGAAAGTCACCTGAAATCCATCATGTCAACACAGCAAAGAAGATAAAGCATAAATGAAGGAAAAGTATTTGACAAAATTAAATTCATAAAAACTCAGGAAACTGGGAGCAGAAAAGAGTTTCCTTAGTCTCGTAGAGAATGCCCACCAAACCTTGAGCTGTCCTAAGACTTAAGAGTTAAAGGCTGAACTTCGTCCTCCTGAGGCTGAACAAGAGGCAAAAGAGCACGTTCACCGTGCCTTTCCACACCCCTGCATAAAACAAAAGAAGAGCCACGCAAATTGGAAATGAAGAATAAAATCATCCCTATTCAGAGAGGACATGTAGAAAATCCAAGGAATTAAAAGTTTCCTCCAACCAACAGGTGAGTTAAACAAGGCTGCAAAATTAAAAGTAAAGGTGCAGGAATCAATCTTATACCTATGTACTAGCAATAAACAACTATATTTTGAAATTTGTCTAGAAATGCCATTTGCAATAATACCAAAACTGAATTAGGTACAAATCTAAAAAAAAATATGTACTAAACCTCTGGCGAAAACCATCAATTTTTTCTAATAAAAAATGAAAAATGGAAAGGGATGTGTACATGGGTCAAAAAACTCATGAGTCTTAAGATGTCAACTCTTTCCAAATTGATTTATTCCCATTCAAAAATTCTGTTGTGTCGATATTGCCAAACTGATTCAGACTTACTTGGAAAAGGAACAGAGCTAGATTAACTAGCACCATTTTGAAAACAAACAAAACAAAACTGGATGACTATGACTATCTAATTCTAATACTTATTGTAAAGCTAGAGTAATCCAGATAGTGTGGTTTTGGCACTGGAATAGAGAAATAAGTCATTGGAACAGAGAAGGGCAGAAACAAACTCACACATGCATGGTAAATTAATTTTTCACAAAGATGAGATGGTAATTTAATGGAATAAGGATAGTCGTTTTAACATAATGCTAGAATTGGACACCTGTATTCCAAAAAAAAAAAAGATCAATGCATTTCTCAAACCTTACACAAAAATGCATTAAAAAAGTGGATTATAGATCCATTTGTAAAACTATCAACTTAGAAAAAGAGGAGGATAAAATCTGCATTTTCTTGCTTAGATAAGAAGTTCTTATATACAATACCAGGAGTTTGATCCATTGAGACAAACAAAAAGATAAATTGGACTTCATCAAATAAAAATATCTTTTGTTTTTCAGAAGATGCTACTAAGAAAATGACAAGGCAAGCCACAGACTTGGAAAAATCTTTGCAAAGCATAATTTGACAAAGAATGTATCCAGAATATATGAAGAACTTTCGAAAGTTCTTCAAAAAAACAAAACAAAACAAAAAACACCTCCCTCAGAAAATGAACAATGAATTTGAAGACACTTCATCAAAGATTTACAAATGGCAGATAAGCTCAAGAAAAGGTGCACAACATTAGCCATTAGACAAATGCAAAATACAGCCACAGTAAGATAGCACTACACACCTATTAGAACAGTTTAAAATAAATTCTGATGGTACCAAGACTTGGCAAGAATGCGGAGCCACTGCAGCTCTCACATCTTGCTCACAGAAGTAGAAATTTGTACTTCTGCTTTGTAGAACAGTTTGGGGGATTTTGTTATAAAGTTAAACATACACTTATGCGTGACCTAGCCAATGCCTGTCTAAGTATTCACCCAAGAGGAACAAAAAACTGCCCACACGAAAAAAACTGTACCTGAGGATTCTAGGAACAAGGTGGAGTGGGAAGCCCCAGGAATTCACCTGCCGAACTGGGCAGCGATCGCACCGTTGGAAGCTGCCCGCAGCGTCGTTTAATTCGCGCCTGATGGAGGCTCACGGATTCCAGGGGAAGGCTTGGGCGGGAAGCTGTAGTTAAGTGCCTTTCCTTACAGTGAAGATCTTAAATCAATAACCTACTTTGCAACTTAAGGAACTAGAAGAACAAAATAAGCCCAATGTTAGCAGAAGAAAGGAGATGAAGGTTAGAAGTAAATGAAGTAGAGAATAGGAAATAATAGAGAAAATCAATGAACCCAAAAGATGGCCATTTGAAAGAAACAAGAACAATGACACTCCTTTAGCTAAATAGACAAAAAGGCTCATGTTACTAAAATCAGAAATGAAGGTGGGACACGGCCGCATATTCTACAGACATAAAAATGAAAGCACAATGAAGAATTCTACACCAAGAAATTAAATAACTAGATGAAATGGACAAATGCATAGAGATACATAAAACTACTAACACGAAATTGCAAAGCAATAAGAATTCTGGATAAACCTACACCTAGTAAGGAGATGGTATCAGTAACCAAAAATCTAACAACAAAGAGAAGTCCTGGACCTGAAGGCTTTACTATGGAAGTCTAGCAAACAGTTAAGGATGAAATAATACCAATCCTTAAATTTTTTCCAAAAATTGAAGTGGAGAGAGCCCTTCCTGACTCATGCTACGAGACTAACATTACCCCAACATCAAAGCCGGGCAAACACTACGGACCAATATCTCTTATTATTGATGCAAAAATCCTTGTCAAAGTACTGGCAAACTGAATTCAGTAGCATATTTTGAAAGGTTTATACATCGTGTTCAAGTGGGATCAGTTTCTGGGATGCAAGGATGGTTTAATGTATGAAGGTATATCAATGTAACACCGCTTTAAAAGAAGGAAGGACAAAACAGGATCATCTCAATTGATAGAGAAAATCATTTGGCAACATGCAGCACCCTTTCATGATGAAAACATTCAACAAACTAGGAATATAAGGAAACTACTTAAACATAATAAAAGCCGTATATGAAAAACCCTCAGTGAACTCCATCAAGTTAATTATCACCATCATTTCATATATTTACCTTTGTCTCTTAGCAAATTTCAATTATAAAATAAAGTGTTAACTACTCTCACCATGTTATATTAGGTCCTCAGACCTTCAGAACTAAATGCTTGTATCCTTTTACCAAACTTTTCATATTTCCCCTATCCCCTGGTCCCTGGAAATCACTTTTCTACTATCTGGCTGTAAGTTTCACATTGTTTATTTTATTTTATTTTTTAGATTCCACATATAAGTAATACCTGATAGTATTTGTCTTTGTCTGGGCTAGTTTTACTTAGAATAATCACTTTATGTTCATCCAAGTTGTCACAGACTATAGGATTTCCCTCTCTATGTTGAAAATATTTCATATTTTTATTTCTGCTTTATATATGTTTTTATATTATATACATCTTTTATATTTTAAATATATACATTTGTATTGTGCGTGTGTGTGTGTATGTGTGTGTGTGTGTGTGTATACATTTGTATTGTGTATTTTTTGCTACTTCTTGATCCACTAATCTTGGTGGACCTTTAGGTTGTTTTCTTACCTTTGGCTATACACCCCAAAGTGGGACTGGCAGGTCATACGGTAGTTCCATTTGTAATTTTTTGAGGAACCTCTTTGTTTTCCATAGTAGCTGCACCAGTTTACATCCCTACCTGCAGTATCTGGGGCTCTCTTTTCTTCGCATGGGTGTTTGGACAGGACCAAGGATCAAGGATCATTTATTTGGTATAGATCAAATATGCTCATGGCCATTTCTAGTGAGGCCAAATTTCAGGGACATTTTGGTGTGGATGAAATGGCTCTGTGGATTTTAGACAGGACCAAATGTCCTGCAAAGGGACCCCCACAAACCCTCCATCTCCTGCCCATGTGCCCCGAGCGGTGTGCAGTGAGAAGTACTTGTAGGAGCTGAGGATCCAGGTTCCGTCCCTCCCTACCAACACAACTCACCTGGATCCTCGGCTCCTACAAGTACTTCTCACCTTCCTCCAATGTACACGTGGGTAGAAAGCTCCCAGGTGTCCTGGTGTGACACGCAGGGGCACTTGGGTTCAGTTATGTATGTCCAGTGAGATGTAAATCACAGAGGAGCGAACAAGGATGCTTCATGCCACCATAGTGCTGATGTCATGGTTTTTTACTCTTTAGAGCGGTTATTTAATATAAATGCTTCTTGTCTCATTCCTAGCTCTTATTTTCTATATCAATAAAATTAAGATTAGATTTAGATATGTAGTTCCGAATGACAGAAAGAGACCAGAACAATGTAGTAATGGTGGATTTTTAAATAAAACTAAATTTTATGACTTTTGCATTAAACATTTTTATATATTTCTTTGGAATGTTAGTGATTATTTAGAACTGGAACTCTGGAAATCACTGGACTAGTTTATTCTACTAGTCTCTTTCAGTGTTGGTATTCTCTGATCCTATGGTTCATTCTACTCTTGACTTCCTACATCCCAAGAGAGAGCAAATGTCATAGTGATTGTCTTTTGAATCAAAGAGTTTACCTTAATGGTTATATCAGAAAAAAAATTAGGTTATGCTGCAGTAATTTTAAAAAAATAACTGAAAATCCTCTGGCTTACAATAACCAGGCATGTCTTCTGTTAATCTGATCAAGAAGGGACTGACTCTTCATAGTAGATACTTTACACTCTGCCACCGGAACATCATTTGACACATGCTTTATCAGCCACGAGGCCTCAAACTAAAACATCCTTTTGCTTGCATTTCATTGCCAAAGCAAATCACATGGACACTCCCGGATTCAATAGGACAGGGGTGTATGTTTCACCTGTGGAAAGGAGCACTTAATATTAATGAACAACAAAACATTCTGTAGGTGCATGTGAGGTCGGGAATGAAAACTAATAAGGAAAAATTAACTTTGTTTAGAGCGAAATATGAAAAACAAGACATAAGAGACTAACCTTTACTACTTCTGCAATCTTTTAAACATATTAATATTAGCTAAACAAATTTTCAGATTCCAAAATGTCTTCATATATAATACCTTATTATATTTTTATAGTGACAGAGACTGGTAAGATTGAGTAATGGTTAAGAGTTCACAATGATGTCAAACTGCTTGGTTTTGATTTTCAGTCTCAACATTTACAAAAATTGGACCATGGACAAATTCCATTACTTCTCAGTGCCTCAGATTCTTCCTTTTGAAACTGGGTACTGTCATAACTGTATCTTCCATTTAAGTAATGTGAGAAATCAAAGTCATAATACATAGAAATGGCACACAGTACCCCTCAATGCATATTGGTGTTTTTAGTTATGCTTGTATTTTATCATATTTATCAACAATACTGTTATTCCCATTTTTTAAATGAGGATCCAAATGTAATCTATAGACACCGATTTTAAGGTTCACAGAGCCAATTGCAAAGCTTGGATTCAAAATCACTTTTTCGTTTTAGAGACTTTGCTTCCAGTCTAGTCGCACTTCTGTTCTTTAAGTAGTTTCACACAACTCTTATCTAATCTTTCCTTAAGGTTATTTGGGCTATTTTAGCAAACTTCTTTTCCCCCAATAGATTAATATAAATGGTTGGGCAAAGAAGGAGCTATGAGCCTGGGAGAGGATATTGGGAAAGAGGAAGGCAGGCAAAGGGAAAGCAAGCTGGGAAGGCACCGTGCCAAGAGACGAGGTGGCCGGGCTGCAAATGAGTGGGGGGCGGGGGCTTTGCTCAGGAGACAGAGCTGGTGTGGGTCACTGCGGCTCAGGTCGGACTTCGTACCACTGGGACTGGGAGCGTTTAGACAGGGTCAGGAGAGCGCCTGCTGATGGGAAGGGCTACAGAAAACCTTTGAAGTCTTAAGTTCAGCATTTTTTTCCTAACCAAAGAGAAAGAAAACATTTTTAAAAACTTTATAATTGACAAAGACTGAACTAAGAGTTTGAGAGATTGCTGATTGAAAGAAGTTGATGTGGTAAGTTATTTTAATTTTTTTTTTTTGAGTATCATATAATCCGTTCCCCACTTCAGTCCTGAAATAAGTGGGTTTTGTCATACGATATTATATACTTCAAAGTTTCACTATCTATTTTAGGTTTGTTGACAAGTCAAGTTTCAGTTTCCAGCAGGACAGAATGTACTATTTATATTTGAAATGCATCTGAACCTTCACTTAAAATCTCTCATTTCAGAAATCTGGTGGCAAGCTTGACTATCTGCCCTCTTTCCCCAAACACTCACACATGACTTATCCTGAACACAGGTTTATTTTTCTTTCCTTTTTTTTTGTGGGGGCGGGTGGAGCTGGGGAGAGTGCTCATAGGCGCCAGGGTAGAGTTTTAAGAAAATTTTACATGAGATTCAATGTAAAATTTGAGGGATTATGATTTTTTTCAGTAAAAGAAAGCACTACCTTGACCAAGTATAGTAATGTTACTACCTGCAGCTCTAGAATGTTGATAACTGGGAAAACAACAAAATAAAAACACCTGGAGAGAAATATAAGTAATCAAATACAGACACTGATGTGAAACTGAAAGTATTTGTATTAAAATTTTAATGATACTTTTACTAAATTACTTGCCATGAAGATATTTATGAAGGATTTAGACGAACAACTGCAAATGATAAGAACAGAAAACTGCTCTTCTTGGATAATGTTGATTCAGTTGCACATTAAAAAATAGATTCCTGTCTCCTGAGAGGTGAGGCTGCCCTGGATGAGGGTGAAGACAGAACACACACACGCGCGCGTGCGCGCGCACACACACACACACACACATGGCCACCGTAACTGTCACATTAAGCACAAGATTTGGTGGAGGGGAAAATTGATGGACATTCAACTTCCCAGTACTTTCTTACATCACATTGCAGAAATTTAAGTAACTGCCAATTTGGGCTGGGGGTTAAAAACAGAAATGAATTGAATATCCAGTTTCTTTCTGAAGTCGAGACACTACAAAGGTTTGCAAATAGGTGGTTAAAGGCAATAATCTATGAATGCAGTTGGCTCTGTTATTTTCCTTCTATCCTTGAAGCACTTCAGAAGTAAAACCTAATTCTAAATAAATAGTGCATGATTAAGGACTCTTTATTATGCATATGAAAGGCCAGATGTTTAAAAAGGTTAATATTCCCTCAGCAAGGAAAACATTAAGGTCTAGGTCATCTAGATTGCTTTCCTGGAAGATTTTATGCCTGTTCTTCACCTGTTAACACTATGGTTGATAATACTTTTCAGATTATGAATAAATATTTTGTGCTCCGATTGTTCACGCATGTTAACATTTACTTTGTAAAATGTGCTCCTGCCAGGGATATAAATAGCTGCTGGAAAGAACACTGACAACTTCAAAGCAAAATGAAGTTCTTTCTGTTGCTTTCGGCCATTGGGTTCTGCTGGGCTCAGTATGTCCCAAACACCAAACCTGGACGCACATCCATTGTTCACCTGTTCGAGTGGCGCTGGGTTGATATTGCTCTTGAGTGTGAGCGATACTTAGCCCCCAAAGGATTTGGGGGGGTTCAGGTGGGTGTTGTTTATAGTACGGATTGTGGGGTTTGCTGGGCTTTGAGTAAATGGCATGATCTGCGTCTGTGAAGCTGGGAACTTCTACTTCTTACATACGTGCTCTAAGTAAGGGGTTCTGTGAAGAAGATTAAAGGACTTAGTATTGTTGTCAACTTTTATGTTTTCTTTCTGCTATAATACTCTTTCTTCAGTGGGATGTTTCCAATATACTGTTAAGAATATTAAATACACGTAGCAATTTATACAAAGATTGAGAAATAATTTTAGATCTTTATTTTCTAGAATATCCAGTGATATGAAGTAAGCCATAATTTGATACCTGAGATTATTTTACTTGCAGATCTCTCCACCCAATGAAAATGTTATAATTAATTACCCTTCAAGACCTTGGTGGGAAAGATATCAGCCAATTAGCTACAAGTTGTGTACAAGATCAGGAAATGAAGATGAATTCAGAGACATGGTGACTAGATGTAACAATGTTGGTGTAAGTGAATTCCTTTTCTTTAAAAATAGTGTGAAAAAAATAGCTGCTTTCTCCTGTTTCTTGCTACTTTTAAGCAGAACATGTTCCATATTTTTTATTTTACTCTCTACTTTAGCTATAACTAAAATTTAATTGTAGTTTATTGTTCAATTTGTAAATCTCTGTATATGTGCCATTTATTTACTAAAGATGTAAGTCCCAATTTAAAACCATCTTACTTATAAGACAAATACCAATTTGTAACCCTTATAACTATACACATTTCTGGGGAGTACTTTTTAGTTAAAAATTGGAAATTCCAGTTACAATATTTGCTGACACTTTTATGTGACTTGTGTCTCCCATCCATAATTCACGAATCTTCTTGCCCATAGTTTTATTTGATGATAATTAGATACGATCCCTTTGATGAGGAACATAATGAGAGACAATATTCACCTTCTGTCTTTAGATGTTAAGTACACAGTAGAATCTGGCTGCTTTCTGAGGATGACTGATGGAAAATTCAAAAATCAGGAATCTCTCCTGTCTCAACTTATTCTTACCTTCTCTCAATAAAGGCTCTTTGCATGTTTTGATAGTTACGATAGTTTCTGGTTCTGTTAATTTACCATAGATGTAAACATTTGACCATGTGCCTAGAATGCAGGGAGGTGGGCCTTCAGTTCACCTTGATTTCCTTTCACACTTTACTCTTGGTCTTCCAAGGAAGATGAGTTATAAAATAATAGATAAATAGTTTGAGTGTTACTAACATGCTGTCCACTGCAATCGGTAATATCATAGGTTTCTCGCTCTCTGTAAACCAACCTGAAATGGAAGTGTTGCCTTCCAGGTGCACGTGTACGTGGATGCCGTGATTAATCACATGTGTGGGAATGGCGTGGGCGCGGGAACAGACAGCACCTGTGGGAGCTACTTCAACCCTGGGTCCAGGGACTTCCCTGCAGTCCCCTTCTCTGGTTGGGATTTTAATGACGGTAAATGTAAAACCAGCAGTGGAGACATCGAGAACTACAATGATCCTTACCAGGTAATTATTTAAAAAAAACAGCGTTCTGAATAAAGAACTATCTGTGCCTTTATCTACATAGAGCTTATTGATCTCTGTTGAAATACTAGCTTAGATTCCTTAAGAAACCAGGATTGCAGGTCTATTTAAAAATAAGAGACTCAAATCAATATTTAAAACGCTTTCCTCAATTTAATCTCTCCCAATTAAAAAGCTCGTCTACTTTATTTCCTGCATTCTCCAATTTCATAAAATATGTCAAAGGTGTGTCCAGACTAGAATGTCCAGGTTCCCAGAGCCCAACACAAAGACGACACTATAGAAGCCTCTGTTCATGAAGAAATGAATGACTAATCACATCGGCTCTCAGGTAAACACGATGCCGTATGTGTCCCCCACCAAATTTTGGCCTCCATAGGTCCGAGACTGTCGTCTGGTTGGTCTCCTTGACCTTGCCCTAGAGAAAGACTATGTGCGTTCCAAGGTTGCGGAGTACCTGAACCACCTCATCGACATCGGCGTGGCAGGGTTCAGAATCGACGCGTCCAAGCACATGTGGCCTGGGGACATGAAGGCCATTTTGGATCAGCTGCATCATCTGAACACAACCTGGTTCCCAGAAGGAAGCAAACCCTTCATTTACCAGGAGGTACATGGACACATCTGTGTGCATACACAAGACCACCTAACTCATTAGAAAATAAATGGCAGATTTAATTTAAAATATAACTTCTCTAGGTTAATAACTGAATCATTTATGTAGAACAGGAACCAATTGTATGGAACAGTGTTCTTTCATCTTTTATTCAGAGGCTGCTTTTTATCAAACTCTTTAACTCCGTTTATCACAAGGGGTTTTAAGGAAGGATGTGCAGAGAATTTATTTGGGCTGCAAGCATCTCTTTGTCATTCACTGGCTCCCCAGAGACCATTGCAGAAGACAGATAATAACACAGCTGTTGTCTTGAGCCAGTCTCTCTGGGTTTAAATCTTGCCTGTAGCACTGTTAGCTGTGTGCTTTTAGGCAAATCGATCCACCTCCCTATGCAGAAATTATTTCATGGGAGGAAAAGGAGTAATGATAATAGTTATGTCTGATTTTGTCAGAAAATTAGATGAGTTAATATTTATCAAACACTTAGAAGTGCCGTTGGCCGGATATTGAGTGCTGTAGAGGTGTGAGCCATTGTCACTTTGACCAAATAAGGTCGGCGTCTCCACAGGACAGCAGGTCGCCTTGTCACAGGACAGCAGGTCACACTGTAGTGAACAAGAATCTTGGTAGAAGTAAAATCACTTGGGGCATTTCAAATAACATGAGTAGTTTTAAGCCATTTTCTATGTGATATGCGCTTGTTGGTTAACATTCCAACCAAAAACGACATCTTCCCCTATATTTCTTCTAGGTAATTGATCTGGGTGGTGAGCCAATCAAAAGCAGTGACTACTTTGAAAATGGCCGTGTGACAGAGTTCAAGTACGGGGCCAAACTAGGCACAGTCCTGCGCAAGTGGAACGGAGAGAAGATGGCCTACTTGAAGTAAGTGAAGTAGGATTTGTGTTTTGAATCGTTTCATAGACTTGATAGATATTTTATCACCCCAATATGAGTTGTCTTATTAAGACCTTATTTAGACCACTTTCAAGGATTCAGTTACTATTAAGTGTTACAGTTCCCTAAACTTGAATTGATCATCTTTATTATTTAGAATGTCAATCACAAGGAGATATATCTAGAAACCCAAAATATAACCTGGGATTTTGATCTATGTATTATGTGATTCAACCAGATATAACTGTTGGCATATAACCTGTGAGGTCCAGGTTGTTACAAAAGCGATTCTACCATTTGTAAAGTACAATGTGGCCATACTGTGGAATTTACATATATTACATCAATTAGATTCAAATTTTTAAATATTTATATTATGAAAGTATGGCGTTGAAGCCTTACTTTAACCTGGTTTGCCATTCTGTACAATATGGAATGGTGGTTGACCCTCCTGATGTCCATCTAAATTATAATGTACTAACACTTCTGCAAGGACTGTTTTTAATAGTGAAAATACCTGCAACATGAATGTAACAGAGTAATTCATGCATATCTATATCGATATCTATATATATGGAGTGTATTTGTAGATAATATAGCTATAGCTATACAGTGTATATACAGGGATGGGCAAATGTAGGTTGACAATTGTTTATATAGAAATAATACAAGTAAATAATACAATAATTAATAAACAATAATACAAACATGCACTCACAACTGTAAACGTTCGTCGGCCCACCCCTGTATATATAAACCTTACAGAAAAATGCTGTCAATTAGAGAACTGCATGTGAGGACTCTGTACTGGAAGAAGCACGTGGTTAGGTGGTTAGGCTGCCATAAAAGGACTCATGTGTGTGTGTCTGTGTCTGTGTGTGTGTGTGTGTGTGTGTGTTTTCCCAGGAACTGGGGCGAGGGCTGGGGCTTCATGCCCTCGGACCGCGCGCTGGTCTTCGTGGACAACCATGACAACCAGCGAGGACACGGGGCTGGAGGGTCGTCCATCCTCACCTTCTGGGATTCTAGGTAGGAAACGGTTGTCGGTGTTACTTTTACCTGCCTCTCGGGCCGGAACAGGGTTTTCTGTTGTGGTGACACCATTTTGGAACTTTCAGACTCTACAAGATGGGAGTTGGGTTCATGCTCGCGCATCCTTACGGGTTCACCCGCGTCATGTCGAGCTTCCGCTGGCCACGGTATTTTGTGAATGGAAAAGTAAGTATGGGCGTTGTATCAAACATTTTTTCCTCAAGAAAAGGAAGGCGGTTTTGTTCAAACTTCACATGATACCATTACACTTACTAGTCATTTCTGGAATATGTTAGCGTAAAACTGATGCGGGGTTCGTAGCAATGCAGTGGATACTAAAAACTAAAATGTGTCGTCGTTGTCAGCTGGTATGTAAGGTGTTTCAGAAATAGGAGAAACATAACTCCTTACTTCCCCCAAACACTTGGGAAAAGGATACAGTGAGTATAATATGTACCTCCCATAAGTACTTAACTTTCTACAGCTGGTATGTGAATTACAAATTAACACTTGTAAGGAACTTAAAACAGTGTCTTCCCTTAGCAATATAAATACTCGTTAAATACTTAAAAAAAAGTTCTATGGAAGGCAAAAAACAGCATCTAGTTGAACTGAGGTTAAATAAGCATTTTATTAGAAGAAAGAAAACATGGGTTAAAGAAGATACATTTGCAGACTATGCTGAGAAAGATTAATCTGAGTAATCATTTTTAAAAAGAAACTGAAAAATAAAGTTTTAAGTGTATTTAGAAAGCGAGTAGAAACTTTTCTTCTTAAGGTGAAGATTTCAGCCATAGCATTGTACAGCAACTTCATAGCCAAAGGAGAAAATCCTTTTTTCTACAAATTAGACAGATATTTATCTAGTTTCTTCCAGATTCCTTTCACTTTGAGAAGCCCCCAAACCCTGTGCAGCAACTCACTCATTCTGTTGCTGGACAGGTTTCCTATTCAGATGTCCCTTTATATTGGGCCAGCCCCTTCCGTTCTCCACTAATTGGTCTTATTTCTGACGTCAGCAGTCAGGGACCACATCCGTTTCCGTTTTCCCTGTAACGCTTCCGCTTTTCCAGCCTGCCAGGCATGTCAGCTTTGCCCGCTGTTCATCACAGGACATGATCTTTAAGGCACACTGTGAGAACCTTCATGGACATAATCTTTATGCTTCCTACATTTACCTTACAAAGCACCAATCAGGAAAACACTAATTTAAACACTTGGTCAAATGAGTAAGGAGTGTGGTGATGTGTCGCTTCATGCATGTATCCGAAAGGGAGAATGAAGGGCGCCGTTCTTAGATTTGTTTAGCAATTATCACAGTCAAGGCATCTTTCCATGTGTTGTTTAATTTTTATAGCCTCTAAACAATATCATCATTTTACAGAAGAAGAAAATGAGGCACAGAGAAGCTGTGTCTATTGACTGAGTCTTCTCAGCAGCAGTGAAATGTTTTAATCCTGCTGTGTCTGACGCTAACTGCCCAGATGCCTCAATGACACTGCCTGACGCGGTGTAAGAAGCCATAGCGGTTCCTGGGGAAGGAAATAAAAGGGTGAAAAAAACGTCCCTTTGAAATACGGCGCCAGAAATGAGAAGTCAGAGGGAAGACGACGAGGACCTGGTGCAGGGCTTTCTGGGAGGAGCTGGGCTCTAAAGGCGGGCGCCCCTGGGGCGCCCCAGGACGGGCTGGCTGTGGCGGGCGGAGAGGCGGCAAAAGGAGTTAATCTTAAAAATCTGAGCGGTTTTCATTCTTTTTGCTAATTAAGGATATTAATGACTGGGTCGGTCCGCCCAATGATAACGGAGTGATTAAAGAAGTGACTATTAATCCAGACACTACCTGTGGCAACGACTGGGTCTGCGAACATCGTTGGCGGCAGATAAGGTGGGACAGCTTTCTTAGAGATGGCCTCTAAGGGTCAACTTTCTCCACCTTCTGTTTTAAACGGTCGAAGGGTTCATAGCATTTGTACCGTATTTCACTTTTAGGAACATGGTTATGTTTCGTAATGTAGTGGATGGCCAACCTTTTACAAACTGGTGGGATAATGGAAGCAACCAAGTAGCTTTTGGAAGAGGAAACAGAGGGTTCATTGTCTTTAACAATGATGATTGGTAAGTAGATATCAATTAGAAATTATATTTTATACTAATGTGTTCCGGGTCTGTTCTTTTCTCTTGCTGCTCATTTCCTTTTTTACGTCTGAAAAGTTCTTTCGTCAGTGGGTTAAAAAACATGGAAGTCAAAAACAGAGCCAGGAAAAAAATGATGACGGCTCTTAGGCTCTTGACCCCCTCTTGTAAGGGCGGCGCGTCCTGAGCAGTGAGTTTTGTGCGCTGGGCCCTCCCGCGCCTCGCGGCCGCTCGCACACCCGCCTCACGGGGAACACGGTCGTTCATGTGCAGATCATGAAATCGCTAGAAGAACCTGTCCTGTTGACCCTCTTTTATTTAAATACAGTCATGGAGAACCGCCACCTTGGTACAGAAATACCTTTTTCCTAGCTCTTTCTCAACTGTTCGGCTATCAGATTCTTGAGCCTTTGTCTTCGCCTGCTCTCTCTGTGGCGGTATTTTTTAGAGCACGTGTGTAGAGAGTATGTGTCTTACAGTCAACGCCTGTGGCTTGGACGAGCCGTCTGCCGGCGCTGGAGCGCCTCCGCCCAGCGACAGCCTCCGCTCGCACTCGGCGCATCCTAGCCCCGGTTTCAGTTTACTGGCAGCACGCAGCTAAGCCAATGCGTCTCTCTTGCCAAAACAACCCATAGCTAGTCCTTCAATTTCTGTTTTTTATGGGTGAGAGAGCCAAAATAATGGCTGAGACAGCTTTATCTTTAAAACTGTAGGCTTCTTCAAATAAATGTTAGTTTATTTTTATCTCCAGCCCAAATTCATTTTAACCTCTTGAAAAAATGAGATTTTTTTTTTTGAAGAAATAATCAACTTTAAATTGTTGAAAGTAACTCGTATCTTCTTCAGTTCAGATGAGGAAATGTTTGTGTTTATCACGGGAAGTACTTTTATCTAACGGGGCAGGACAACTCACATCTTCACGGACCGTCTCCGAGCTTCGGCTTCTGTAATGTTCACTAGTGACTAGGAGATTGCTGAGTCTTCTATGAGATGACTTTTGTTCCTGAGAAAACTGTTCCCTTCCACTGAGACGGCTTTGTGTATAGATTTCCTTCTCACGGAGCTTTTGCCTGTTAGAGCTCTGCCGTGTGTTTTAGAGATAATCTGTGTTCTTGCTTTGAATTTTGCTGAATTCGAGTTAAATGTTAACCTTTATTTTACAGGCCGCTATCTTTAACTCTGCAAACTGGCCTTCCTGCTGGCACATACTGTGATGTTATTTCTGGAGATAAAATTGGTGACAAGTGTACAGGAATTAAAATCTATGTTTCTCGTGACGGCAACGCTCACTTTTCTATTAGTAACTCTGCCGAAGATCCATTTATTGCAATCCATGCTGAATCTAAATTATACAATTTGAATTAAATACATATATACCCCGTGAAATAACCAAGTGTATGTCTTTTTTTACGTTAGTAAATTATAATTCAAACATTTTTGATAAGGCTGTAGTAAATAATCAACTTGAAAACTCCGAAAAGCATAAAAATCACATTGTTATACAAGTATAAAATAATTACAATGGACATTTTGGTTTTTTTTAGAAGACTCACATTAAGCTATTTTGGGGGGTTAGGGAGCTGGGTGAAAAAGCTAAAAGGATTAAACAAAACAAAAAAAATCCGTAGACACGGATGACAGGGTGGTGGTTACCAGAGGGAAGGCGGTGGGGGTCGGAGGAGGCCGAGGGACACGCACGGAGGTGGACGGAGGCCTCGCTGGGGCGGCGAACGCACAGTGCGGTTTACTATGGCGTATTGTAGAACGTACGCCTGAAACCTGTCTAATTTTATGAACCAATGTGACCCCGATGAATTCAGTAAATTTTTTAAAATAAATTTTACTTAATTAATAGAAAGAAGTTTCTAAGAACTCAGACAGGCCTCTTGATAAATACATTTGTTGACATGAACACCCGTTGCTCAGCTGTGGATTACTGGTGTATCTCTCTCTCTCTGTCTCCCATACAGTGTTTCTAGCAATTAGTCAGGGAGAGCTGACTTCATAATTCCTGTAAAAGTTAACAACATTTGGGTGGCTTTCACGATATGAAAGCCCTTTTACAGGTAATAAGTTAAAAAAGACACTGAAAGTATGCAATCTGTAATTCTTAATTACACAGAGTGCACAGGAACCTTTTTCTTTCTCTGCGTTCTTCTTTTCTTTCTCTCTCTAATGGCTTTAACTTGATGTTGCTGTCGGGGTTTTTGTTCTCTTAGCCCCCAGTATGGGTCGATGTTTATTTAGGGCTGTCAGGATACCTGATGAACCAGGGTTTCCTCCTGATTCTGTAGCTACTCGTTCTCCTTTACCTTGACATTGCGTGTGGGATTTGTTGCTCCTGGTCAACATCATCAAAAACCTTTGTTATTAATCCAATGCACGTCTCTACCGTTGTCTAATATTACTTCACAACAGCATTCAGAATGCCAATCCCCTGCCTCCCCCTCTGTTCCTTTGGCTCCTGTGACCCTGCTTTCTCCTAGTTTTGCTTTTCCTCACTGATTGCTCTTCTGCACATATTTTTACTGGCTCATCTTCCGTGTGACATGAGGGCTCATTTGGATCTATAATTACACTGTTTTACTCCCTCAGCCAAGTAACCTTTAGTCTCAGGACAATGTTTGGCACCTATTACGTAACAGCTCAATGATTATTTGTAACATAAATTGAGATAATGAGAGAAAGAAAAGAAAATACCATTTTTGAGGAGAGAATTATTAGTAAAGATATGGCCTGGGAATAAAGACAGTTTTATTCTCTCTCTAAATCTTCCCAAGTTTAATTAATTCTTGGTTAACCTGGATTTCTCAGGTCATTAATGTCGTGTGATCTCAATAGAAGCAAAAAAATATTTTTCAAAATTCAAACTTTTATGGTTAAAAACTCTCAATAAATTAGATATAGAAGGAATGTATCTCAGCATAGTAAAGACCATTATGACAAGCCCACAGCTAACATTATATTTAAAGGTAAAAAGCTAAATGTTTTTTTCTTAAGATTAGGAACAAGACAAGCACACCTACTTTCACCAACCGCTCCTATTTGGCACAGTGCTGGAAGTCCTAGCAAGATCACTTAGGCAAGACAAAGGAATAAAAGGCATCTAAATCAGAAAGGAAAAAGTAATATTGTCTCTGCTTCCAGATGGCATGATCCCATCAGGAAACTCCTAAAGACTCAAATGAAAAAGGGTTAGGGCTGATAATAAAATTTAGTTTTAACTTGCAAGATACAAAATCAATGTGCAAATAGTTTTGTTTCTATACACTAACAATGAGCTATCAGAATGAGAAATTAAGAAAGCAATTACATTTACTATAGCATAAGAATAAAGTACTTAGGAATAAATTTAACCAAAGAGGTGAAAGATTTATAGACTAGAACTACAAGACATTCATCAAAGAAAGTGAAGATACAAATAAGTGGAAAGATATCCTGTGTTCTGTGTTTTTGGATTGAAAGAATTAGCATTGTTAAAAATGCCCATAATACCCAAAGAGATCTATAGATTTGATGCACTCTCTATGAAAATTCTGTAACATTTTTCACAAAAATAGAAACAAAATCCTAAAATTCATATGGAACCAAAAAACACCCAAAATAGCCAAAGCGAACCTGAAAAAGAGAAACAACATTGGAGACATCACACTGCCTTATTTCAAACTATAAAAAAATAGTAATTAAAACAGTATGGTGCTAGCATAAAAACAGACACACAGAACAATGGAACTGAATAGAGAGAAATAAACCTATGTATATGCAGTCAGCTAATCTTTGACAAGAGTGCCAAGAACATACAGTGCGGAAAGTCTCTTCAATACATGGTGCTGTGAAAACTGGATATGCACAAGGAAGAGAATAAAACTGGACTCTGTCTTACAGCACTCACAAAAGTTAATTTGAAGTGGATTAAATACCTAGCTGTAGAGCCTGAAACCATAAAGCTCCTGGAAGAAAACAAAGGGAAAAAGCCTCATAACACAGGTCTTGGCAATGATTTCATGGATATGATGCCAAAAACACAGGCAAAAAAGCAAAAATAAACAAATGTGGCTTTATCAACTAAAAAGCGTTTGCACACCAAAGGAAACAATCCATACAAGAAGAAAACAACTTATGGAGTGGGTGAAAATATTTGGAAACCATGTATATGAAAAGAGGTTAATATCCAAAACATATAAGGAACTTTTAAGACTCAATACCAAAAACTCATCTCATTTAAAAAATGGCCAAAGGCTCCAAATAGCCATTTTTCTTAAGAAGACATACAAATAGCCCACAGGAACATAAAATGGTGCTCAACATCACTGATTATCAGGGTTATGCAAATCAAAATCACAACGAGACGTTATACCTATTGAGATATTCATTATTAAAAATATGAGAGAGAAATGTTGGTGAGGCTGTGGCGATAAGGAACCTATGTGCACTGCTGGTGGGAATGGAAGTTGGTGCAGCCATTATAGAAAACAGGATGAAGGTTTCTCAGAAAATAACAAGGAGAACTATATGATCCAGCAATGCCACCCCTGGGTATATATTCCAAGGAAATAAAATCAAATCTTGTGTTGATATCTGCACCCCCATGTTCAATGCAACATTACTCAATAATAAAGACATGGTAAGGGCACCTAGATGCCGGACCAATTTTTCATGTGGTAACAACCTAAATGTCTTTCAACGGATGAATGGATAAAGATTATATAATGGAATACTCTTTGGCCATAAAAAGGAAGGAAATTCTGCCATTTGTCAGAACATGTATAAACCTGGAGTCTATTATGTTAAGTGAAATAGCCAGATGAAGATAAATATGTACTGCAGTATTATTTATGTGTGGAATCTATATAAAATGAAAGTTGGACTCAAACAGTAGAAATGGTGGTTGTCAGGGCCTGGGGGTGGGGAAATAGAGCAAGGGGGGACAAAGGGTACACATTTTCAGTGGTAGGATGAATAAGTTCTGAAGCTCTAATATATAGCAAAGCGACTAGAGTTAATGCTATGGTGGTGTACACTTGAAATTTTCTGAAAGCGCATCTTACTACTTCTCACAAATGTGAATTACATGAGGTGATGGAAGTTTAAGTAACTCGTTCTTGGTAATAATTTCACAATGTGTGCATATTAAATCATCACATTGTACACTTTAAAATACATATATGTAATATATATATATATATATATAAAATTTTGTCAGTCATTTCCCAATAAAGCTAGGGGGGGAAATCATGGGGAAGTCAAGTATTTTGGCCAAACACAATCATGTGTTCTGGATTTTCAAGCCACCGGAGAGTATTGTTTTTGTCCGAGCAGCTGTTACGTCCCCTTAGTAAGGCAGCCAGTTGCTCTTAGACCAGAGACCGTGCTTCCACCTGGTTGGGATGTGACCCCATTTGTACAAGGTGTGGCAGGAAGGACGCCGGCTGGCGTGGGCTTTGTCGGGTAATAACATGGGTGTAATACTTGGTAGTTTTAATTTGAACATCTCACCTCAAATGTCTTCGTGTGTGCTTGAGTGTGATATTGTCATGTTACCCAGTGACATGCTTATGATTTTGTAATACAAAGGGGGTGTTGTTTGTGCCCAGCCCCATATTGGGTTCCTGGTGCTTTTGCCCACTTTGCTCATATGTGTCATGGAGCAGTTTCTTCCTTCAGATGTTTCACTTTATCTGTGGAAGTCATTCTGCCTGTAAAGGCTGAGCTGTTGACTTTCTTGTGGAAGGGATGAGAACTGTTCGTGTTGAAAAATCATCATTACTATTATTAGACTTTCCCTTGCCAGTCAGAACTGAGACAATGAACCTCTTCATAGATGACTGATCACAGGATGATTGGAATGTTTGCTCAGTCTCTTTCCAGAGTAATCTCAGTATTATGATTATTAGTATTGTTATTATTATCCTTCAACTCCCAAATGAAGTGCACTTAGGTGCTGGACCATTTTTTGATAAATGTTTCCAAAAAGACACTTATGAGTAATAAACAAAATCTCTAGAGGTCACTTCCTGTGGTAAAGAAGTAAATGAGATAGTTTTTGGAAAGGATAGAGAAATCTCTAATTATTTTTTTAAACCAAACTGTTTTGAACATTTGCATTTTGTTTTTAAGGATCCATCAAAGCAAATTCCTTCCAATTTGAAAGTGACTAGAAACTTTTTAGAGTCTTAGCTGAGTCTCAATTTTCCTTCTGTTTTGTTTGCCCCTGCTAATGTCTTTAACCCCCGCCGCCCCCAAAAAACCCCACTAAATACAAAGGAGGGAAGCTAGATATATTAGATGTAGCTTACAATTTGTTGAAGAAAATCACAAGGTTTTAGAAGAAATCATTTAAAAATGCCAATAAAAATAATACTTCTTTAAAAAAAAACAGAGGACAAGTG